CATACAACTTCTAATTTTTAACAATGTGAAAAGTCAAAAATAAAAAAAATAAAAAATAAAAAATCCAACCCCTTTTCTAATGTCAGCATTCACCAGTCAGTGAAGAGGTTGCTGGTGGGAGGACATGGGCGTCAGAGATGTATCTACAAGAACTTCCTGCCAAGAGCTCCTCTATAGGGTTGCAAAATTCTGGGAATTTTCAAAGTTGGAAACTTTGCATGGGAATTAACAGGAATATAAAGGAATTAACAGGAATGGGAATGAATCTGAAATTTACAAAATTGGAGGTTGGCCCTCAACAGGGAACTCAAATATAGCTGAGTAAAATATATTGTAGCACAATCTTGGCTGAAACAACCAGATTTAATGCAAGTACACTCCTCCATCACAAGCACAGATGTCATTAGAGCAGGTGTATTTCTTTTGCTAAAAACACTGACCATTTTTCTTGGTTTGTCCAGCGCTTGCTGGCACAGTAGCCGACATGAAGGAAAAAAGAGGCCAATGCCCACTGATTGCATGAAAACATGTTGTCTGTTGATACAGATAACTGTGTCCCTGATACTGATGGAAAAAAGCAACACAACAGCAAGACTTGTTTCACATTTGCATAGTTTTATATGCTGAGCTAAGTCTCCACTCAAAGGTGACACTTTAGATGTATTTACCTTCAGGTTTTATCAGGAGACTTCCTCAGACAAAGGCAACTTAGCGGGTAAAGAGCTGTTTACTCTGTTTTTAGTCTCTCCTCTTTGGTTTACTGTTTCATATTATACCACACACAAACACACACCTCATCACAGTATCACTCATGTACTCAAGGACGATTGCACAGGCTTTGCATGTAAACACGCACATGGTCACAGAGATTCAAGCGCCAGTGTCGACACACAAACACAGACGCTGATGCAACAAAACAGCAATGACTGAAGCAGCACTCTGATGATCATTACTGTAGCTGTAGTGTGGATTCTGAGAGAAAGTGTTTGTGGACAGCAGATGAGAGGAGAGGCTGGTCCACAGTGACATGGCGTCACGCCCCGATCAGATAGGCAGCACTGGAATGTCTTCAAAGTTTGTTTTGTAACAGCAGGATGCTGAAACATAGGTCGAAGAAGACAGAAGGATCAGACGCTCCAGTGACATCAGGTTGCAGTTCCACTGCTTCCAAAGGAAGCACCAAAAGCCGTGTGCACAAGATTACGCTAAGTAGAAAGCAAAACATTTTTTAAACAGGCAGAATTTATGTTAGAAATTATAATTATTTTGATAAATATTTTAATAAATAGGATAGATCCTTTGAGATGTTGACTCTCATCTTTAAGAGGGTCCTTAAGCGTTTTCAAAGTTAAGTTATGCATGACTAACAATTTAGTTGGGAATTTCATCCTTGAAACTCTCATAAAACTCTCATAATCCACAACAGTCAGTGTCCTCTCACCTCTCAGAGTCTGTGAACATCCACTTCCTCGAAGCTAATATGATATGCAGTGAGAACTAGCACAAGGAGGGGTGGTATCTTGATAGCGGAGCTAAGTGTTCAGGTGTCTCTGGCCGAACTTGAAGAAATAAATGAACAGAGGTGTCCACTGGATAAAGTCATTGATTTGTGGGCTGTTGCTGTCCATCCAGTTGGGGTGTGGAGGCCTTGTAGGGCCACCTATAGGTGGTTGTATCAGTTTAGTCACTACTTGGAGCTTGCATTGACAGAGCCCAAGTCTGTTGAAGGTATCAGTACTGTTTGGGTTGCTGTGGCCACTTAATGAATGTGTCTGACCATATAAAAAAGGAGATTTCCCTCAGAAACATTATCCTTGTCTGATTTAGAGCACACAGCCAGAGCAGTTAAATAAAACCATTTGATAAAATACCTCTCAGGATAGTGACTGTGGGTATATTGTTAACAGCACTGCATCCTTGAGGCATTCAGGTTTCTAAATGCCTGCCCTGAGGCAGAACTGTGATTCAAACTTTGATTTACTCATGCAAAGTTTGACTTTTTTTAAACCATGACGCGATTATTTCTCTGTTTGTCCATCAATCCATGTATATTTACCTTCATTTGCCAACACTTATCCCCCCTGACGGTGGCATTTATTCTGCTTCTTTATTCAAACACATAAAGGCCAACGGTTGGAGAAAACAAATGGAAAATTCAGCTTCAAGTGCTGTGGAAAATGACTACTGAAGGATTTTAAAATTTGAAGCCATTTTTGGATTGGTGACACAATTTATGGTTATCATTTATTCAGTTGAGTTGGTCCAATATGTCTCTATTTCACAGTCTGATCAGAACAAAATGCTTCTTCTAAACACCTTCATCAGAATAAAGTGGTCCAATAGGGTTCTATTGCCTTCCCGCCCAAGGCAACGGCTGAAGTTCTGTGTGATGTCCTACATGAAACAATCACTAGGATTCAGACTCATCATGGTAACAAACTGGTGGAAAAAGCTGGCTCTATGGTTGGAATCTAGTTAAGCTCACTGGAGGATGTGGTTGAGAGAAGCACACTGAGGAAGGTAAAGGCTATACTAAAGAACATGGATCACCCACTTCATAACACCTTGATGGACCTTGAAAAAAACAAACAAACAAACAAACAAAGGTGGTGGACGGCTCCTCTCTCTTTGCTGCAGGACAGAGAGATTCAGAAGATCTTCTGTACCCACACCCATCAGAGTTTTTCATTCTTCTATAAATAGTCAATGAGATGAGATTCCAGACAAACGAATTTCTCGCTGGCGATCAATTAAGTTCTTAAGATAAGATAAGATATTCCTTTAATAGTCCAAAATGTATTGTAATACAGCCCATTATAGACTAAACTAATCTGTAAAAATTAGATATTCACAGGCATTGAGGGGGCATGAGTCACTGTTATTTAACTCTATCACTCTCTTATACCAGTAAAAATGTGTGTGCTACTTAGTGAAAAGTAGGTACTGCAGCCTTTTTTAAACATGAGGAAAACTGTAAGAGCTTTAGACGACCACGGAGAAAGCTCCTTCATTGCTTTTAAAATTAATCTTTTGAGCAATCAACATCCAACCACTTCATGTCAAAGATAAGTTTGATAACTAATACAAAAAAGCTGTAAATCATCTATCTGCATTACTTTGACTCACACTGGCAATGTCTCTCTGGTTGATTTAAAACAAAATGATAGACCAGGGCAGTCTGAGAAGGAATATTTTAAAACACTTTTTTCAAACTGGTCCCTGTGCAGCTCTATTTCTCTGTCTGCCCACGCACAGCGGGTTACGTAAATGGTTACACCGCTCCAGCCCACTCAATGTGTCAGTGGGCAGTCCACCAGTGAAAGAATTAGAAATATGTATTCTCTAAATGACCTGTGCTTCTCACATTGAGCAGAAGAAGTTAAAACCCTTGAAGGCAGCATTTTTTCCCCTCTCTAATCACGTGTTAAAATCTTGCACCAGTAAATTCTGCAGTAAAAAGTTAAACAGTACTTGCTGAATTTAAAATCTAGTCTCAAATGAGTCAGTTTTTCCTTAGGAACTTTTAACTCAGACCAGAATTAAACCTCACCAGAATGATTCAGAATGAGCTTTAACTTTGCTCTCAGCTGAAAATACAGTCAAAATTTGCGATACGTACATGATATGAATTCTAGAAAAATAAATTTCACTCTGGGGATCAATAAAGTTCTTGTATTGTATTAAGGACTTTAATAGTTGTGGACTAATGTAATTTATGAGACAGGATAAGGAAACGTATTTTGGTCTAAAAAAAAAAACCAAGAAAACATTCATTTAACAGAAAACGAGGCAAGGGTAGGAAGTGAGTCCGCACATTAGAACTAAGTAAAGCCTGTTACAACCTCATGTCATCATGAAATATCTAAATCAGATATGATGGACTTAAATGAGAATTACAGTCTAGATGTAGGAGTTCTGCAGTTCATAAAAAAGGCACCCCCTCTTCTACATAGTGTTTCAGTACAGTGTGGGCTTGACCAATCAGAACAAAGAACTGAACGCAGTCAGGTAATAAAGATAAATCAGTACACCTACTCTGTGTACATACCATGTACACTGTATGTACACAGAGTGAAGCTCTTGGTATTTCCGCGATTTTTCTCCATTTCCTGAAACCAACATTCCGCAGTAGCATTGTACGAATTTGGCGGAAGAGTCGCTGTGATGACGCCCTTCATAAACAGTGTATCCCCCGGGTGAGCTACGTAATCTTCGTACTTCCATAGGCTGTATCAAGTGTCAATCATAGAAAACTTGAACCCCCTAATAACTTTAAAAAAATGGAGCTGTACAGACAAAAAAGGACTTGAGCACAAACCAGTCTTAAAGCAACTTCATGTCAACATCGCAAGCAGGGGGGAGAAAAAATTATATTCTTTGTAATAAATGTCTAAAGTTTGTCCACAGCTCCATGAGGATTGCTGGAGGAGGCGGGATTTATGACCTATACTACAGCCCGTCACCAGAGGGTGCTGTTCTCGGAGTGGCTTCACCCAGTGAGGAGGCAGACGGTGTCCATTCTATATACAGTCTATGGTACATACATAACAAATATATTGTAGCTGTGTTACAAACTTAATTGAATAATCTCTACATTTTGAGATCTGTTATTTCTCCATAGCAGGAAGAATGAAGAGAGGAAGTCCAATGTAAATACCCAGATGGTAAGCCATGATAGGGTTTCTCTGTTAAAACGTACTCCCTTCCCATTGTCAATCACAAATCTGGCAACACTCAAAACCTACAAATGAATCTAAAGCAGGATTTTACTAATGCAGTAGCATTTTTATTGGTGCCTTTTAATAGATACCTGTGTTATTATTGTAAGAGACAAAGCCCTATGACTAACTGAGGACAGAAATTACTGAGATTTCACACCAGAGCTTTGTTTCTTCTCCAAAACTTAATTAAAAGACTGTTTCAGCTTTGAAAATCTGTGATAAAGTTTCTATGAAGATCCAATAAATCAACTAAAAGAAGCACAGAACAAATGACAAAAATACTCAGGCATGCCAAACATCTTTATTTTTCGGTGCAGAAGGAATAACTTATTTTAAATTCAGCTATAAGAGCCTAAAACAGCCGTGGAAACAAAGAAAAAAAAAACAAAGCACAAAAAAGAAACCCCACCATGACCTCTAAACTCAGTTGTGATGCCGCCTCTTCTTCTTCTTCTTCAAGTATGCCCATGAATCCTCTTCTCCTCACCTACAGCCTTTCCTCCATTCTCTGACTCCCTCCTCTGTCTCTCTCTCATTTAATAAGGAAGCTAAACAATAAAAGAGAAAGAGGAGAGAGAAAGGAAAAAAAAAAGAAGAGGAGATGATGAAGTGTTTTTTTGTTATGCTGGTTTGGCAAAACCTGTGGCTGTCTATGATGATCTTGTTCAAAAAGTGCCTCCTGCTGGTTCAAATGGTTTCTGAGAGTATGTAATCAGGCTGAACTGTTCCAAAAGCTTTTTGAAGATGCATCTGTCTTTATTAAACAGGAAGGGAGAAGGAGTAGAGGGAGATTCCCCACTTAACATCTATACAGCCCATTAAAAATTCACAACATTCATATAAATAATTAATGACAGTCACAGTTAAATTCAGTGTTACAGCACCTCTAAATACTACTTCAATCGGCTAAATATATGCAGCTATTTTCATCATTTTATCAAACTGAATTTACATCAGACTCATGACATGCTATGTTGAAGAAATTCAATATTTTTAATATCACGTAACATCCAAAAAGTAAGAATGATGTAAGGATGTTTTTGGTGCATCTTTTTACAGTGATTTTTGGGAGTACTTTTCATAGACTGTGTGTGTTGCTGTAATCTTTGATTTGTAATGTTGAATTGGTGAAAAAGCAGCAGGAAAAATAACAAAATTCTCACTTAAAATAGTATAGCCTTCATGCTGAAGTTTGTTGGAGTATCATCTTAAAAAAAAAAACTAAAAATGTGTTTATTTTGCAATTTCTACGGTAACTCGTAAAGTAAAGCTTTCTCTTTCTGCCCACCACAACTGAACTCACTCTGAATCAGGGTTATTATAGTTAATTAAAAATAACAAAATGATGAATTCTAGAATTGAAAAGAACATTTTCGTCAACTGAAATAAATAACAACTTTAATTAAAAGAAAAAAACAATAACTATCTGAAATTGAATTGTGCGTTTACAAAACTAACTAAAACATATTAAAATTATAGATAAAAATCCCTTTGTTTTCGTTTTTGTCAGTTTCGGATTGATATGTAATTGTTTTGTTTCGCTCAAGCAACTTTCCGTGAGTTGGCAGCACCGTACGGCACCTCCCAGTTCATCATTTCTTGTTTACAGTCGGATTCTCATCACCATTCCACCTAGAAAATGGCGACAAAACCAAGTGCCTTGAAAACTCATAATAAAGTATGTGGAATACTTCTCAAGGAAAAAAACCTCACAAATCTGAAAGTCCATTTGAGAAGCTCACACAAGAACGCTTGTCGTGAGCACCTCGACAAAGTTGAGTAGCTCCCCTAAAAAAGAGCAACATCTCGGCCAGGAGGTAGCACCAGGAAGCAGGAGACAACTATAATGGACTGTTTTCACTGACGACCAAAGAGCTGCTGGTCGGTAAACACGCGGCAACACTACAAGTGGGAAGATGCACTCGTACATATGTTTATCAAGACTAGCATGTCTACAAGACTGTGTGAATTGATTGCCTTCGAAAAGTTTAGCTTTTCCCTCGAGCCAAAATTCAAATCACCCGGTGCTGCACAAGTAAGTAACCTTATCTCCAAGTATGAAAAACTAAAACTAATAAAAACTAAACTGATACTTATAATTTAGAAGAAAAAAAAAAAGAAACCACTCTAAACCCACTCTAAAAACTAATTAAAACTAACTGAATTAGAGAAAAAATAGTCTGAATGAAATAAAATTTAACTATAAAGAAAAGTCCAAAACTATAATAACCTTGCTATGAACGGATTAAAATCATTTGACAACTCTGCAGACACTCTGCTCCTCTATTGAGCCGTCACTGAAAATTTTCTCCACCATAATGATATCAGTATCAGTCCTCTAAAGTGTCCTCACCTTCTTGAATACCTCCAATCTTCAGAGGTGGATTTCTGTTGCTGAGGGTGTTTTTGTGAAGTGTTTTACTATCCTACACCTGCTTCAGGTGGCAATGAATCGGAGCCACACTCTGCAGACTTGCCGAGTGCTTTCTGCCACACATTAAATCTTTTTTATGTAGTGGTGACCTTTAGCTCAAAGTGGGACCAAATTACTGCTGTTCCGGCTCACTAATCCTAAGGGCTCTAATGTCCAAACATGCTTTCTATATGACGACACGGAGACTCACCCGTGATGATTCCATAGTTTTTAACATTCAGCAGAAAATATGTGTTCATGTGCAGGAGGAGTGCAAATCCCTGCTAAAGTTTTGTCTGCACAAATGCCCACTAGAGAAAGAGCCTTGGTGCAGCAGAGTGTCCATTTTGAAGGGACTGTTTCCAATCGAACAGCTGTCCAAAGATCGATGAAATAATGGGAATAGATGGATCTAGTTTTGGCCTGGATTCCCGCACTGTGTCTCTGATAACTTGGCAGCGATTTTATGTCAACTTCAAAGATTTTGAGATTCATTGTGCACTTGTATATCGTGTTTGAAATAACCATTGAGCAAGCTGGATGAAACCTGTGTGAGTGTTTGTGCTGTGTTACTGTGCGACTGCCAGGATTACCTGTAGGGATATCCATGATATTTGGACCTGAAAATGGAGAGCAGGAAGCTGAAGAAGAACACCACCAGGCCGAGGCCAACAAGGCAGATGACTGAAAAAAAAAAGATACATGTGGTACAATTAGGTGGTTCACAGCATCATAGTAGCTGCTACAAAAGTTACTACGGCTACACTTTTTAAACACAGTTAACAGATTTTTCTAACTTTGTACAGGACTTACACACACCTTGATTAATGAATAATAATTAAAACACAATAGCCTGGGAGCATGTTTGATTCCTGGCCAAAGGTGGCCGCTTGAATCATTTCACACACATTATTAGTGCTGATGCAACTCTCTGTTTGATCTTTGTGAAAACTGAATGTGCTTGCAGGGTTTCGACATGGTACATGCTGAGAGCATCCTCTTCATTTATTTCAGCGGTGCACACACACACACACACACACACACACACACACACGTCCCCTGTTGGCTATGCGGTCCCCTCTTAGTGAAATTGTTACGACGCTAAGTTCCCCTCTTGGATAGGTAGGAAAGTGCACACTCAGACGCACACACACACATAACCACAAGCAAGCACCTATATAGACTTTCATAGACACAACTAACAATTAAAAACAGTAAATATGCAATATTTGCTAAAACACTAATAGAGAGGAGGTCCAAAGCATTACCTAGTCCACTTCATCAAGCTGAAACTTATTAACAGTGTTTACCTTTATTCAAGCAATCTTTCAACATCCAGCCTGCTGTCCTGCAGAAAATTTTGCTTGCAACTATTATCATCTTATTTCCTTAGTGGCTATTCTTGAGCAGAATATACATAAGCATGATCTTTAATCTGCAGGGGCATTGTGTGTGCGTGAGTGTGTGTGCAATGCGCACACACTCACGGTAAAGCTAATCCTTAGGAAGCACTGTGCTAAATCAAACTGTCACTACTGGCTGATATTGTTAATCAGGGATTAGGATGAGGACCTCTCCTGGAGACTAAATAGTGAGATATGCATTTTTTCTCTTTAAGTGTGTGTGAGTGTGTGTGAGAGTAAGTAGGAGAGAGACAGGGAGAGAGGAAGCAATGTCAGGAAAAAAAATGTTGTTTAGACAAACTGTATGTTACACAAATTCTCAGCATTAATTTGTGTGTATATGCAGCCATTCATCCATAAGCCTCTTGAGATTTGTGTGTGTGTGTGTATGTGTGACTCCTGGGATCTCTAATTCATGTGGGCATAAGACAACCTATGTTTTCCATATCTCACTGTCAGCTCCGCCATCACCGATCTTTTACTTGACATGCATGTCACACAGTTTCAACTTAAGAGTCGCAGCAGTCTCATACACACGCTACAAAACAGGCGTACTTGCAAACCTCAGGAGCTATCTTTTGCTGTGTGTGTGTGTGTGTGTGTGTAAGAGAAGGCAAGAGAGCACTTTATATGTCATTCAAGCCCTTATGCATCATCCACAGTCACACACAGGCTAATACACACTGACTGAATGACTTGATTGAGTGCACTGCGGATTTGAAAGCACGTCTCTGGGGACAGCCCTCATGCCCCTGTGTTGCCACATCCACATATGTGCGTGAGCAACAGGGCGTCTGTGTATCTTCATTAAGTATACTGAGGATCTTTTTCCCATAGCTCATCAATTATGACTGAGTGGTATTTCAGTATGCTTCCGTGGATAATGATGGTTCCATACACACACGCACTAAGCATGCTAATATGCAAAGTGATTTATGACCTTGGCGAAATGACAAGTTGTTTAAGCTGAATGATTTCCCTCAACGACAAAGGTGGTAATCCCTCTTTTGTCTGTGCGACTTGGCTCAATTCAAATCATGATATATAGCCATGGGAGAAATACATTTACATTTTCCCTCAGCATGAGAAAGCCAATAAACATATTAAGTTAAGCCCTTCTCATTAGCGCAAATATGAATGGATATTGTGATACCAAACTGTTCTTCCTGTTTATCTAGTCACTGGCTTCCAGAGACATTGAATGAGTCAAACTCCAGGTACACACAACCATTACTGTTCTTTGTTTTTACATTTAGCTGCAGGAGATATGTCTCCTGTCTGAGTTGTGACATGCATTTGTTTGAGAACCGAGACTTGTAATTGAATGTGAAATGGGTTCAAATTCCTGGTCATTTTCCTTAAAGGGATATTCCGACGTAAAATTAAGTTAGGGTCAAACACACCTTAACACCGAGTGAGACACCCGGGGTGAGATTAATGTTGCTGACCGTTTGCTTCTCTAGTTAATACCGACTTTAGTAACGGCCGCAGATAGCAATGCACAGCAGTCGACCACTCCACGCTCAACCCTCAACCAAGACGCCACTCTATAGTCACAAATAATACTCAGAACACCACCTAACTTCATCAACAGTACTTTAAGGGTCCCAGAGACAGAACTAGCCAACAAACATCTTTTTAACTTTGCCTGATTTCTTTAGCAAAGAGACTAAACACAACTCACCTGCTCTCTTCCAGCAGCCGCTTGTTTGTACGGAGATCTCAGATGAGTCCATTACCGACTGCAGCGGGGTGACGCAGCTCAAGGAAGAACATTTCTGATCATTTCTTCATGGAAATGCAATCAGACCGAGATGCTAAGGCAGAGGAACTACCGCGTCTGCAGTGCAAAATGATTAATATGGTGATTATTACTTTAAGAAAATGATAAAGAAATGATCATAAATTTTCTTCCTTGAGCTGCGCCACCCCACTGCGGTAATGGACTTGCCTGAGGTCTCCGTACAAACAAGCAGCTGCTGGAAGAGAGTAGGTGAGTTGTGTTTAGCCTCTTTGCTAAAGAAATTAGGCAAAGTTAAAAAGATGTTTAGTGACTAGTGCTGTAGCTGAGACCCTTTATGTACTGTTGATGAAGTTAGGTGCTGTTCTGAGCATTATTTGTGGCTTTTTGGTTGGGCACATGGCTCTTCAGACCGCTGTGTATTGCTATCCTGCAGCCGTTACTACAGTTGGTATAACTAGAGAAGCAAGACAAAAATGAATACCATGGCTCAGTCCAACTTTCTCAAACCTCGACTACTGTCTACTTTTGTTGTGGTAATTGTCAGAATCTAAATTTTTGAATTGAATTTGTATTTGAGAACTCCCTAGGCACTGACATCTATGTAAGAACAGATAATGTTAGCAATATGGTTGCCAACTCCCGTGTATTTCAAACTGAAACGTTTTTTTCCTGACCAGAGCTCCCCTTTTCCTGTGGATTGACGTTACTTCTCTGTGGCCTCATGACAACCTTTCGCTGATCCCAGATCAGATCTGGCACAGACTAGCCCATCATGCACTGATCACAACACCAAGTTAAACCTTTTAAATGTTGTAAAAGACATGGATCATCTACTTCATAACACCTTGATGGACCAAAAAAAACAAAAACAAAACACCAAACAACGGTGGTGGACGGTTCCTTGCTCTTCACTGCAGGACAGACAGATTCAGAAGATCTTTCAAATTCACAGCCGCCAGACTTCTTAATTCTTTTACAAATGTATGGTTGTTTATGATGTTGTTTTGTTGACTCGTGGTGTTCAGGTGTGGATAAAAAATATGGATAAAAAATATGGATACAATATTTTGAACGGGTTAAGCCAGTCAGCAGCGACTCAAGAAAAGCCTTCTGCATGCCTCTCTTTAGATTTAATTTCTGTTGCAAGGCTTCAATCTGGGTTTAGCCTTATTTTATGAAAGAGTAAAATAATAGGGTTAAATCATAATGCCGTCTTATAACACAGAGGGAAAGTCAAACTTTTGTTCATGGTGTCAATCACTTCCTGTCAGTTTCTGGGATGGTATGTTTCCTGTTTAGAGTAACACTGAGAAACAATTCTTGAGTTCTTCTAATGTCTTATCTCTTTAATAGCTGCACTGTTACTTTTCAAGGTGAACTCATGGGTTGAAGGAAAACACTGAATTTTTGCCTTTGGTCTGTGTGTATGCATGAGTGTGTAGCCAGAGACACATTTAAAAGGCTTCTCAAATTACTTTTTAATCACACAGACTCTAATTAAATTCCACTTGTGTGTAGATGTTTCCTTCTGTTTGAGGTAATTAGCAGCACAGGCCATATAATATCTCAATCCCCTCCTAGTAATCTAGGGATTACACACAAAAACCTCAGCATAGACAGTAAATAAAAAGGTTAGAAGCCGTGAAGTCATTGACACGATCAGATGGCTGTGGCCTGTTTGAAATGGTGAAGTGTGCCGCAGTTTTACCACCTCCAGGTTAGACTCATTAGGAGGCATCAGGGACCTTCTATCGGGTTTTTCATCTGCACATATTCTTGGTAAAGAAAACAATTATAGTTCTTTTTGCCACGGATTGACAGCACCTATTAACGGGCACCATGTTTTACATTTTAAAATCTGTATCTGCAATTTATAGATCTGTCTATTTTAACCATTCTCCAAACATTTTTCATGACGTTTAAAAATGTGTACTTGGCTGCAGGTATTGTGCATGCCAATCATTTATTCAAAAAAGTTATTCATTTATCATTTTACCATCAACAGACTCACTCATTATTTTGTCACAATCGAGCAGCCTTGGTAAATGTTTCACAATCCCTCTCCTTCATTATTGAGCATCCTACTTACATGTCCTTGTATCTGATTGTCTGGGCCTGCCAGTCTTTACCTAACAGTGCCTTTAAGCTCTTTTCCACATGTTACAAGTTGGTGATTGCATAATTAATCCATGCAAGAATAGATCAGATGTTAATTTCAAGCAGATTTTGAGAACAAAGCGTACTAACTAGCTTTGCTATTTCTTGCAGTTTGTTTGACTGATGATAGACAGAGTATGTGCAGAGTGTTCGCTCTGCAGTTCCTTCACTTCTGCCATTTCTGGAGAATAAAAGCAGCTTCGTTTCCAATGTGAATGTAAAAGGCTAGACAAAAATCATTTTCATGCATTAGTTATATTTCTCTTTGTCTGAGGATGAACTTAAAGTTAAGAAGTTTATTTTTTGAAGGCCATAAAAAATCGAGTTGTTGGTCAAAGTTTTTGTACCACAGCTGGAGTGAAATAACATAAGGATTTATCACAAAGGAATGAGAGAAAAACAGTCTTTGTATACCAAAGTTAATCAAGCATTCCCCAGACACATCTTAATACTGTAATTGTGTATTCAGAGGTAGTTATAGGCAGGTGAGGGGTCATCTCAGTGATAAACTGGAAAGCCAAACAAGTGCTTTCATTTTCCAAGCTGCTTCAGCTAATTGACAGTTATGCAAATACACATCACACTAATGAAAGTACAGCTACAATAGTTGATTTATTCATGGCATGTGATTTGTGCTTGTGTGTGTCTGTGTAAATATGTCTGTAGAGAAACCGCCTATCTCCCCCATTAAGTACAGCTGTTCTTTTTTTGTCTTCGCCATTAGCTTCAGCCTCGAAAGCAAATCAACGGTCAAACCATTTCTGAGTGATTATAAACATAATGATTACATTAATTAGGGGAGTCTCAAGATACAGATTTATTGAGACAATCATCATCATCACTACATAGAGCACCATGCAGTTCAAAGGAAGCCCCTTCCACACACACACACACACACACACACACACACACACACACACACACACACACACACACACACACACACACACACACACACACACACACACACACACACACGCACACGCACACACACACGTCTTTCTCAAAGCTGCAGGTCTCAGGAGTCGTATAAAATTCACCTCAAACTGATTTGAATGTGAAAATGGGTTTCTTGAGTCAAACTTGATCTTTTGCTTGAACACTAAAAGAATCAGCTTTTTTAAATCTGAAAAATTTATTCTACTTTGTGCTCCAAGGATTTTGGAATATCTTATCAGAGGATTTTAACGATTCTGAGGCAACTGATTTTGATCTAAAACAGCAATGAAAAAGAAAATTTGTCACATTTCAAAAGTTCTATTGAAAGGAAGGTGGGAGGCAAATGAAAGGGTTTCCTCATTTGGTTTCCACTTTTTGGCAAGTTGGTCCTCTTTAAAGGTGGGGTAGGCAGGATCTGAGGAAGTGCCAGTTTTGGGGAGGAATCCTAAATGTAAACACTACCCCTCCAAACCAGTCCCCCCCCCACCTTTAAGGTTATCTTGCTCTTATTATTTGAATTTAGACTGATTTCATATAACATATATTATTTCACCGCCACAATATACATCATGTGAAGTAAAACTCCAAAAACTACATCTTAGTGGAAATTGGAGAAAATGCTACCTTGTATTGACTTACAATTGGGTGGATGCAAGGAATACCAGCAATGCACTGGTGACGCAGCAGACTGATAATGAAATTAAAGCCCCAGTGTGGAATTTTTAAAGGTATGAAACGGCTCCTCTAACCGTTTTGCTGATCTCGTCTTCTTCTGTGTATAAAAAAAGTCACCCTGTTTGATCTGAAACATTCAAATGTTTGACTTTGAAAATCTTTGCCATAAACTTAATAAAACAAAATAATTCGGTATCGCAATTTCGAACACTTTGCCCTTTCAGCAGTCCCGTTCATTAGGAGTACCCATGTAGAAATAACTGATCTTTATGCTAATGTTTTACTTTGCTTCTGTTGTTCATGAAGAGTCATCGGTATTGATTGCTGTGTGTTACATAATCAACTAAAAATTCCCAGCAGGGGCTTTGATGTAAGATGTAAACAAACAGATACTTAAACTTGAAGGTAAAATATACTTTTCACATGCTTAATACTTATATTTGTTTATATGAGAAGGAAAACTGAGAGTCTGCCTAGACTTGCACATGATTTTTGGGCACTGAGTATAACTTTCAGTTTGGTAATTTGCTTTTAAACACATGTCAGATGCACCTGATTTTAAGCACCACGGTGTCGAGTACAGTGCTAAAAAAAGGAACAGGTTTTCCTACAAATCATAGGTCAGTGAGTAGAAAGCAAAACAGACGGCTCTTGAGATGTTCCTCCAATTTAGTGTAACCTGGAGTAGTTATGTAGCCAAGCCATGAAATGTAATTTTCTGGTGATAGAGAATGGTAGCAAGAGCCCTCACAAATAATTGCTTATGAAGTTGGAAAGTGTAACTCCATTCTGCGAGGAGCAGAATCCTCTCAGCACTCGGGGTGAGTCTGACAGAAAAAGCAAAGAGCAGAAAAAGGATTCTCTCGCATTTCTTGTTACAATCAGACGCTGTCGATTTCTGAGAAGTTTGGACAGAAAATTGATGCGGAGAAAGCAGTTACGGATGCTGTTAATATCTGAACTTCTGGCTTGTGTTTGATGATAAGGCATTTTCAACAAGGTCTCTGCATGGATGTGCATGCACACAGCAAAACTGGTAGAGATAATGGGGCTACTGTGTCCACAGGGGACACCGAAACCAATGACAACAGAAAGGTCCTCATGGATGAGGAGTCCAAATCCGTACATATGCATCCAATTAATCCCTAATGAGTCTGCAATATATGCTATAATTATTGTCACAGGTTAGTGCTAACACCAATGTCAGCTATAACACACATGCACACACACAAACAAACGCTCATACACACACACTCATACCTTCACACTCTGAAACTGGAAAAACAGGAGTCTGAGAGTTTTTTTAGAAAAGGAACATAATTAAGAAAAAAAAATAAAAACTAAAAAAACTAACAAAGCTATGAACGACTCTCACAACTTACTTCTCCTCTTGCCAACATCCCCCTTGGAGGTGGCAGCCTCATTTAGCAGCACCATCCCCATGGTGATTGCAGCATCTGGGACAAGGTTGTCAAGGAAACAACACACTTGCATACAGGAGCGGAGAGAGATAGGAAGTAAAAAAGTGCCCCAGGAAGAACTGCGGGACACAAATATGCACTTACAGATATTCACGTTTCACACATGACACGGAGGCACTCGAGCAGGTTGAGAAAAACCATACATAGAGAATATGTGGACGCAAAAACATCAACACTCTTGCAATATACAAAATGGGGTGCATAATGTCCACAGGAAACACTGTCCTATAAAGGCTTATAACAACTGTGACAGATAGGAAATCATGTGTCTGCTGAATTGAGAGTCAAGGCTAATGACTATTTTATCACTGGATGCTGTAGTGGAAGGTTTGCAACAGGAGTTAGTTTGATGAAAAGTTGCTCCTCCTTACCTTGAAAGTTATAAAAGAGAGAAAAAAAATAGTTTCAAAACAATCCCAAGCATTGTATTTTATATTTAAGAAACATAGCAAAGCAAAACTAAAAGATTGTTCTGCTTAACAAAAGAAAAGTCATAAAAAGAAGGTATAACTTATCCTGTTACAGCTGAAAACATGCCGTTTCCTGATGTGGCAGTTTCAGAATGAATACATTTGGACAGAATAATGACAGGGAGCTTTTGTGAAATACTTTTGTGAAAATGTGTTTTTCCTTAAATTATCTGCACTTTAGCAGCGTACAATTAGCTGCAATTTTAAGGAGATAGGGTTTTCTGAATTGTTCTTCTGGCTTATGTCTTTTTCACATATGCACTTCTTAAAATTCCTCTTTTGCTGACTGTACCGCTCACATATATCCTTATAGTCCCCCCTGTCTGATGATGGGACTTTGGGCTGGCCAGACTCCCTGTCATGTTTTACCTTCCTATACAAGATTAAAACACTGCTCTTCTGGGTTCAAGAGGGTGTTACATGGAATAGTGTTCTTCATCAAGATGCGCCACTAAGCGTCATGTGTCAAGCTTGTCACCCATGGGAGTGACATCAGTCTACAGTGGAAAGCTTATTTTGAAACCTTAATAATGGACTGTGGTTTACAGCATTAAAACACATTCCTACATCCCTGACTATGCAAATGGAAGGAGGAGTGGTGTGACAGGAAGTGGCTCTGGACTGAGTACATCATTCAAAACTTGACCATAGTGCGCTGAAATACACCTCTCATTTTATTAGTGTACAAAAACATGCTGCCAAGTCATCAAGTAGAAAGTTAATCCAAAGCTACTATAGTATTAATGTTGACCTGACTAAAAAAATCATTTGTTCGTTTCTCCGCCTGGCATGACTTCATTGATACTGTGTACTTCAACAACTACAATTCAGTGTTACGTTTTTAAAAGAAGCATGGACAGAGGTGTGTTTATCATCGTGTTGCATCACCCCTTCATTTGGAAACAAAAGAGACCAGTTTCTGAACAAAAGAGATCCTGAACTGTTCATCAGCTGAAATCTTATATCAGGTAAAAATGGAACTGTTCACTTTTAAAACTGAAGAAAAAAATAAATAAATAAAAAGTTTCAGTGTTGCCCGGTCTGTCATCATTTCCCTTTTGTACAAACCAAGAGATCAATCTTGTGGAGCGTGTTTGGCAGCTTCTTCGGAGTGGTAGGAACACCTTCTCTTAAAAAGATGTTTTTATAGAGCCATTGATTATTAACCGTCACAACACAGGGCTGCATCTATCTGTCTTTATGTTTGTTTCAGCGTCAGAATGAGGGAGCGGCATGCCTTCATGTTTCTATTCAATCCTAAGATGGAATAGCAATGCAACTGGAAGCAGTATGTGGATATGAAGTCTTGACTGAAATAAGGTTACCTCCACGGGGAAACAGAGTCATAAAGAGTGTCTCACCACCTGCTCAGACAACAAGTGTGTTTTAGCCTTTCAGCAGGTGTGAATACGTGGTTCATTTGGATGCAATCAGCTGGGCAGAGGAAAAAAAATAAACTGTGAGCACGGACAAACAAATATTGCTCTGCAGCAGGTGCGACCTTGGACCTGTTATTTCCCATGGGCTCAAACACAACAACAGGGAATGAACGTTATCATTACACACACATAAAAGACAACAGAGGTACACAAGCGGACAAAGAGGGAGATATATACAAACAACAACATCAATTCTGTTAAACAAGTACACAAACACGCACACAGCCAACACCAGGGGTGGAATTTGAAACAAATCAGGCAAAGAGATGAAAGTTACAAGAGGACATCGTCTTATCTTTGCATTCTGTGTCCGGCCCAGCAGCAGGCAGCTCCCCTCTGGGAAATGCACAAGGTAACAGAGTTCTCATGTTGGGGAAATAAATATAGCAGAAAATACAGAAGAAGGAATTACTGTAGATATTAACAGGAGAAAAACGAGTCAGTTTTATAAATAAGTGAGCATCGACAGTCTGGCAGGCCAGCTAAGATTTCTTTAAGTTTAAATGAACCATCATGAAAAAATCTAACATCATGATTATTACATCGGACATCAGATACCGTTTACTTTATGAATTCATGGCAGGACAGCTGTTTTCTTTTCTATGGCCCCTGAAAAGGATTGATTTTTCTTTTTTCTTTTCCCTGACGGATGACGTGAACGACGCTTAACACTTCCTGATGTAGTCCCTTTCACTACTCGCTATGGACACACAACTGCTGTTTGAGTTCACGGCACAAACCTGCTCAAAGAGAATACAAACACAGGGAGATTTTAGGGAATTTCATGGGGAATTCATTAAACTAAAACAAGTATTGAAGTAGCTCATGAGACTGGCTTTTGTTCACAAATCAGAATCCTGTTCTCCTTCTGTAAGAAGTGAAAGCGTCCACACAAGTAGAACCATTTTGACTTAACTCGTTACGACTGCACTTGTTCTTGTCTTGTTTTTGCAGAACTCATAGCACCACTTACTGCACTGGATTGTGTATCAGCTTGTCTATATGTACACAAATGTAACAGATAATAAAATATTCAGTTTTTTTTGGGATGGTAATAGACTTCCCTGAGGGCCTAGAATTTAAACCCTGAATGGGTTAACCGAGACACCACACATGTTTCCAAAAGGATACTCAGAAGAAGGATGATGTGAGACTCAGCCACAAACTGAGCCTGACTGCTGCCATGGATGTAACTCTGTGGAGGAAAAACAGAGAGAAATGTTGGTCATTGAATATCATGTAAGATTAAATTAGGCAACATCTTGAGGGGATTTTTGATATTGAATGAACACATGAAAATATGGTACAAAAATAGAGAGTTAGGTTGTTCTGAAACAGTGTGTACATTACAGAAGAGCAAAAGGATGACGTACAGGAAAAAGGATTAAAAGGAGTTCTTAGGATTAAATCATCAGAGTCTGGTCCCGTCCAAACTAACATCTGGTGGCTGTTGGACCTACAGTGATGCTCAGCATCCTCTTCTCTCATGAATACGACTGTCCCTGGTTTGGTTTGAGCCAAAATAGCTTCTCTCGTTTTCAAAATTACCAAAACAACAACAGCACATACAGGATCCTTTCGCTCAAACATCTCAGTAACAGCGTGATGCTTTGTATGTAATTAGGGCGAGTGGCGGTTTTGTCAGTGTATGAGCAGGTGTGAGTGAGTGTGTGTGTGTGTGTTTGTGTGTGTGTACAGATCACACTGAGTTAGTATGCACTGGTGACTCATAAATATCTCGATCATGTAGTGCGTTGGTGGAAAGAGGTGCTACCTTTTTACTGAGTGGGCAGGGAAGTCAATCTAACCCCTCAGGAACACGAACACATACACACTCACAAAAATCAGTATTACTCATTTTTGACACTTATACTACCCTCCTTCACTGCCTTCATTGTAAATAAGAATTATTGGGGTGAGAATCGCCTGGAGATTCAAAAAAAACGATACTAGTTATTATCATGGAGAGCATGTGGACCTATCACAGATGGGTAAAACTCATTATGCAGACTTAAGTGCATCCTTCATCTGTCCTCTTGTCTCAGCATAAAGAGCTGAAAAAAATGTTCTCCCTTATGGCTCTAATGTGACAAGCACGTCTCTTGGCTTTTTTCCTTTAATGGCTGTCTGACATCCTGCTGTCTTTAATGAGTCTTTAGGTATTATATGTCTGTCCACTTCTTCGTCTTCTTCTTCAGCTAAATGATTGCTGCTCCGTCCCCCTCATTCATGTAATTGGCAACACCACAAGGACTCAAAAAGTTGTGAAATAGCGAGTCAAATTAGCAGGGAATCTGTGTGAGAGCGCCTGTTTTTTATCGACGAGAACATCAACATTTGTTCATCGATCAAAGTTTTTTATTTGTTGACATGTTGTTGAGCGGAAATACTTCAAATATCACAAATAATGACACTACTTTTCTTTCTTTTTTTGCACATTTCTGAAGGTATTGCTGAAGTCCACAACAATAGAGAAACAAGAATCCTTAGGTAGGAGTCTGGATGACAAACCTAAACTGGGGGCTTGTAGTGAATAATTCTAAAGTTTCTAGGTGTCCTTTATAGGGCTGGACCAACCAACATCATTTCACCCATGTCAATATATTCTTTGCCAAAAAAAGAAAAAAATGTTGTTTTTTTTTTTTAATGTGTGTAGGTAGGCTATGGTCTCATGTCCCTTTAAGGTGCTGTCCTACATCGTAGACGTGACTCCACCCCATCCAGTCCGTAACAAAGAGGGAAAGACAGGTGAGGAGATGGAGGACGGTTCTAAAGTTGTAGCAGCTATAGTGGCGGCTGAAGTAGACGGAGTTAATGTGGGAAGGGGTGAGCAGTCTGTGGAGTAGTTATCGTTTATTTATTGTTATCGAGGTGAACTGCTTAATATATTGTGATATTGAGGCCAATTCGCCCAGCCCTAGACCTTTACTTGGAGTAATAAACAATTTTACAGAAACAGTTTAAGTGTTAGACACAAGAGTAATGGGTTTTTGAAATGAGGGGTTATTGTAGCCAGTTAGTACTTCTGTTTGACAGTCTTAAGGTGAGATCAGGATATTTTTTATGTCTATACTTACTCACAAGAACACATACAGATGTTTCTTGGATTCATCTGTCCATAATTTCCTTAACTGTTATTTTCCTCTGTATACCTTATTGTTCGTACAGCCATTATAGCAATGACTTTATCCTGAACTCAACCACAGAGTGAAACGCCTCTGACTCAAACTTTGTAAAAGCCAGCTACTCTGGAAGTCGACAGAGACTTGATTTGACTGGCATTTGTCTGCGTGTGATGGGAGGGATTCAGACAAGCAGACAAAGGAAGACACAGTGCAAGTCTTGTGGAAACGAGACAAATAGTGGGACAGTGGGAGGGAGGAAGTCTTTCAGTGAGTTGCACAGTGTTGAATCCCAGCGGATTATTAACGTCTAGGTTTACAGCACATCTAGGGTCTGTTTTTCCACTTGACTGCCCCAGTGTTCATTTATTTCCCTATCAGACAGGAATAAGGATGGAGAGATGAATAGAATATGACAAAGGAGGAGGAGTGAAGGGTGGACAGCTCTTTCTTGCTTCAGTGGAGATAAATGAAGATTTTTTGCACTCGAATGCAGACATAAAGACGGCAAAGGCACAGGGCTGAAACAGATCACTTTGTCTTCAACACAAACTGGTTGTTCTGCATTAGCCGGGAATTTTGAATTACAAAGATGCTTCCCTAATTGACAAACCTGGGCTCTTTTATATACTTGCTAAAAACAAGTTTGTTTTGGGAATGCTGTACTTTATTAGAAACACATAACTGATTGCTGCTGCAAGCCCTTTTAAAAATTAAAACATAGGTACAGTGAGGTGAAATGGTCCAAAAGATAAAAGCCAGAAACACTTAAGCTGCATGACATCAGGGTTTACAAGCTGCCTCCATTCAAAGTTCTTTAAATAGAGGGATGTAAAATCTTTTTAAGACCATCAAGAATCTGCTAATAAAATAAAGAAAAGCTGCTCTTTTAGGGCTCTTTCTCAGAGCAAAAAAAAGAAGAAGAAATCAGCGCATAGTGCATTGCAACTATCATTAGTAGTTTCTAGTCAACAAAGTTTTCAGTAGCCACATTTACATGTGCAAAATTTCTTGATCCAATGAAAATTTGAGGGATCGGATAATCTGAATCCACTGTTTATATGAGTGCAAAACCAAATAATTCCCCTGTTAAATGTTGTCACTAGATGACGCCCTTGCTTACTTATTTTACTGTTCTGTCAAAGGTTGCACTATGTGTGCAGATGTGACATCATTACACTGTATATTTGCCTTATTATGCTACCGGAGGAGCAGACACGGCACCTGCGGTTGTATTTATGCCAGAGTGTTAATAATGAAACCTCCTGTACTGGCCTCAATTAATAAGCCAAAGGCTAAAGAGAGAAGATCGAGTCAGGTAAGAGAGTTACGATCGGAATAAGTGTTTATATTGACGTGTTTCGGAACAACGATCAGCATAAACCATCCCTCTCAATCAAAATACACTTTCTTTCCGATTGAGCCAAATTGGATCAGAATCTTCCGATCAACATGTTTACATGACGCAGTTTTATTCCGATCAGGTATTTATTCCGATTATTTGTGCCCATGTAAACGTAGCTATTGTCACCTTAAGTGCCATTATTCAAAGGTCTGGTCAGGCACATGGATGTCTAAAGGCTGCAAAAAAGCAATGTTCTGGTCTAATGTCAACAGAGCGATGATTTAAAGAGCACTTAATTCAGACAGAGAGATGTGCATGCTATGCGTAACCTTTGATTGTTTCACACACAGGGATGTCTAGTAGTGCTCATAGTCCTCAGTTCAATATCAGTACATTTTCATATTATAAAATCATACAAACCTCATCTGATGGAGGACGAGGATGAGACAGATTGAGCTGAGTTAATAAGACAGAGGATAACGGTGATAAGACAGAGCTTTGGCTACTTATTTCTAGAGCCCTACACATGAATAAAACTCTACTCCAACATGTCCTTGATACATGCATACACACGCACATTCACACAGAGTCGAGAGGTTATATTTATTATAGGTTTAATGCTTGTCTACCTGAGTCATGGACACCCATTCCCTCTTATAATAGAGGCTGCTTAGTGTCTATCCATCATACAATGTGTAAGTGCTATCAACACTCCTTCAGTGAAACAAAACTAACACGACAAAACTCACAAAGTGTCACTTGACACTCTTCACACTGGCAAACCAATCTGAAGATTTTAAAGAACAGTGTTGTATCAGTATTCAAATTGGAAGTGGGTTGACGACAAGATGAGACGCTTAAATGTCTGAATTTACTCATCCCAGAGTGTTTTTTTTTTAACAGTGCAAAAGACTTTTTCAAAAAACATTCAACTACAGGAATAAGAGGGCACAACACAAAAAAAAATAAAAGTATTGATAAATGGCAAATATTTCAAACTAAGTGGTCCAAATGGAAATCCTTATTAAATAAACAAGCTTAAGTAAACAAGTTGATAATGAACTGTTAAATAAAACACCCATTATCACAGAATTAGTATCAGTATCCACAAGTAATATCATCCTTTTTCTTAGAAAATGAATAAATGAACCCATAAATGGGTATATAAGTCAATAAATAAAAAAAATAAATGAATATATGTACATGTTCAGAAAACAGGCCTCTCTGCATGTTGCCTCTTTAACATTAACATCAAACTGCAGATGGAGGCTTTGGGCAGGAGCCATGCTCAGCGAATGAAAAATTCCTCAATCTATAGCCCAGCACTTCCAATTAATCTGATGGATTAGAATTCAGCTCCATTCATTAGAGTGCAGAGCTGAGTGTGTGTGTGCGTGTGTGAGTGTGTGTATTACAGTGTATGCAGCTTTGAATCTCAAGAGCCACAAAGTAAATGCGTGTTTCTTAATGACAGTGTTAGGACTGAATTTGTCTGTGTGTGCGTTCATTAGGTAGATGGTAGACATAAAGGTGGTCTGGAAGTAAAATCGCGGCTCACTGAACAAATGAGAGACGGATGGAAAAGCTAACACAACAGTCACACTCCATAACTTGTTGCCTGTCTTTTATTAAAGCAAACACACAGGTCACCTACACAATTTGCCTAAAACACTTCTGAAAGAGTCGAAACGTTGACTTTGGAAATTGGTTTGGCATGCTCTACGTACCACTGAAGGGCAAATTAATCTTTAAAAAAACAACTGCAATGCTTCTACCACAAATATACCAACTTATATTTGTTGACAACATATGAAAAAGGGCTTCAGGTTTTTAGGATAAATAAAAAAGACCAGAAAAAACAGCCTTTTTAGTGTAGAAGTATACAAAGATGTGTATACGTCTAAGCTTCAAAAGATGCTGTTTTCGCTCTACCCCTCTATGGAATCGAGCCAAAATCACCAGAGAACCTCAGGCCAGTGACAGTTTTAAAGATAAGGTTAGGTAGAAACTCAGTGTTTGCCATTTCTGCACATCTCTGACACATATCAGATAGACATAGTGATGCAAGATTTCATGCAACACTTGAAGCATTCCCTTTTCTCCATCTTCTGTCAGCACGCCCATTTGCAGCCTGAGAGCACAAGTGGAGTCATTTAACCACGGCCCTGAAAGTACCTCAGTGCATTTACTCCTGAGTGGAAAAAAAAGTTCAAAGAGCTCATGCAGGTTGTGTTAAAAAGATAAACAAACTCACTGACACAGAGAACATCACATCCATCTGTGTAATTAAGCAGTCTCCTAAAAACAGTACAGAAGTGCGATGAGTTCAACAATTAGTTGCACAGCTGTGAGCAGGAAGAAGACTAGACAGAACAACCCGGCAAGTGGTCTGATGTACATTTATCGGATTTCACTGGCATATATATGAATAAACTGTTAAAATTAAACCACCGTATCCAAATCCCAAGAGTTTAAAATGTGATCACAATCCAAAGTCATCAAACTTTGATAAAAATCCTTATCAAAATTCGTACAACAATACCATGCTGCACACAGCAAAGGAAAGGAGATATTGGACTCAAAAAGCTGCAGCGGGACAGTGGGTTGATACTCATTGGCCAACCCTCCACCTCTGCAAAAGATGTGAACTCGCCAACATAGAGTCGGAGCATGAAATCCAGATCACAAGCAGTGTGTCCCCTATAATGTATTGGCATGCAATGTGTAACTCCTTCGAAGAAACAAAACTAACATGACAAAACTCGTTGGCGGGGCGCCCTGCCAACGGATACCCCCCACCCTGCCAATTAGATCCCAACCCAGAAATTGAAGTCGTAGATTAATATATGTTTAATTTTTACTTTTATCAAAACGGCCTACAAAATATCATTTGCGCAATTTCAGATTTAAAGCTTGCATTCGTTTCATTACTTTCAAGGAAAATGTATCTCTGCGGTGAGCGGGGGTCTCAACTCGCTCCTCTCTCTATATCACAACACACAGCTTGCTGACATGCCGCACCACGTAGTTCTGAGGCGTGACACGTCAGCACCATTTTGGTCGTATTTTGGTCACGAGCGCTTACCACTCAAACCCTGCCAGATTTGCGCAAGATGATTTTAACAAACCCAAGGTTTTTACTTCTTTCCATCCTTTTGCCGCTGACGAAACTGGTCATAGAGCACTGAACTGTCCCTGAACGTTCAGCACCCCAATTGAAAATATCTGCATTCTTTAAAAAGATGGTACATAGTAGTGCGGACGTTCCTCTCCATCTCTCCCAGCCCCGAAATCAGCGCTGGCTCGTTTCCTCCCACCCTGCATGACGTATGCCATGACGTATGTCATACAGGGTGTATGACGTATGTCTACGCCATTATTTTGGCCAGAGTTTGTTGCTGACAGCCCCGGGCAAACCCAGCTGTCAGGTCAGGAGGAGGGGGCCATGTAATATGAACGGCCTCCTGACAAACTAGATAGCAAATGTGAAGGGCATGGACAGACCACGATGAAGATAAGGGGGTGAAGTTTAGCCGACAGACAGCTAAGCCCATAGAACAGGAATAGGACAGCCTGGGAATGGTAGTCTTCATCAAAGAGGCAACGAGGGGGAGCCACGGCACAGGTAAGCCTCGAGTCGAATCAGTGCTGCAGCATGGTTTCTGTAGGGCTTTTTTTGGAGGGAAGGCCATATGGTGAACGGCACAGGTAATCCAGGATGGGGACAGTAAAGGAGGAAAGATTGGACTCCGTACCCTCCAATGCATCTCTTAACAGAATCACGTCTATAAGCTAAGATGTCAAGCATGGTACTAAAAAAATATGCAGTTGCAAAACAATGCAGAGGTAGTGAGCCACTCAAATCAAGCAAAGGTTTTTCACTCTAACATTAGACTTCGGGTATAATTTTACTGCATTTTCTTACATCTCTGGTATTGTAGAGAGTATTTATCGGAAAAGGAATTGGGTTAAACAAATATGTTAACAGATAATTCTATTCATGTAGACCTTTCAGTGTCAGAGAAAAATGGAGAAAAGCATCAGCAAACAAAGTTCGTGTTTCCTCGGCAGTTTGTCATTTTCAAACGTAGCTGTCTTCTTTTTTGTTGAGCAGCAAAGCTTCAAGTAATCGTACATCATTCTTTTAAATGTTATTCCACCACACAAAATGCTGACGAACAGTTTTTTTTTCTTCTTCCAGTTACGTAGCCTCATCATGGCTCACCTCAATAAATCAAGGCAGGTTCATGCTGTGGGGCTGTCTGCAACAACTTTAATCCACTACTGCTCCAATTAATCTGATGGATTAGTTTTTGGTCTGTAAATGAAGTCTAAACATCAAGTCTGTTCGTTTCTAAACAGTATGGAATGATGTAGAAGTAAAATAAATAAATAAATAAACAGAAAACACTCCTCTGTAATTGGAATGTAATTGTCTTAGTCAGCTAAACCAACATCGTGTCGACAAGATATACTGTAAGCAATTAATTTTTATGGTGCAGCTTATTTTCAGCATGACTTATTGTATAAACACTGCACGTGACAGAGAGACTGTATTTTCTTTAGTCTAAGAGCAATGATGTTCTGTTCAAGGTAATTCAGATTTTATCCGCTAAAGTACTCCTACTTTATCTTGACTATGATGATCTTTTAAACTCACTAAATAACTTTGACGGAAAGAAAGAAAAACTTGGCGATATATTTTATTGTTTCTTCAGGGGCTCCCAGGATTGGAGATGGTGAAAGGTTAACCTGAATATTAATGTGAAAGCTTAAATATCTCTTGATCTTTGCCAAACACACCCTCCAGGGATGATTCACTGTAGCTCTTTGTTAGTAGCTTAATCTAAGGAAAAAATACTTCGACAAAATACATGTTTACAGTCTTTGTGCTAAAGGAATGAAGATGCGAGTCTCGCCGAGCGTCTATGTTGGAGCACTAATTTGAATACATTGACATTAGAAAGCCTTGTTTATGTAAGAGCTGCAGAAAGCTGCTCATTTGTCAGACTTTAAATCAAACTGGGTGTCTTCACCCATGAAGGTGTGCGATATGTATTTTCATGCAAAGAAGACGGCCTCAGACATCGTAGGTTTCTTTTGTTACTTAAATGAACAGTCTTTCGACAGGAGCTGTCCACGATAGACTTAATATGCAACAGCTGCTGCGCTACAAATCATAAAAACATGTACTGTGTAACGAGAGTGTAAGTAGCACTAAAAAAGGAACAGCTGCCATGAATTATGCAAACACATGTTACTTTAGTATTCATCGGCTAAAACCTACCCAGGTAGTGTTAGCTGGTAATAGCTACAGGCGAGATAACCTTTGCAAACAGCCGTATTCATCCTTTTACCACAGTGTATCATGTATAGTGTGTGCTAATATGTGTTTGTGTGTGTTTTGCTTGGTAAAGGTCAGGAGGCACTCTGACAGGAAGAGGGTAAATGAAAAGTCAACAAAGAGAGAACAAAGAAGAGACGGTATGATGCAGTAAAGAGAAGAGGAGACAGAGTGAAATAAGTGCTTTGTTTAAATACACGGTGAATAAGTTAGACTGTGAGTGAGTGTGTGCTGTTGTTAAAGGGTGTGATGATAGACGATCTGGGAAGTGAACCTTTTCAGGTAATCTGGTATGGCTGTCAGGCTGTTTACCTTCATCAAACAAAGCGAAGGAGAGGGGGGTTGTTTACTGGATAACACACACACCGAGTGCTGAAAATGTCCAAACAAATAAGTAGGAGGTAATTGTAAAGTTGGCAATAATGCAATCTAGTTAAGAAGAAACTGGCAGCAACACGGAGATGATTCACTAACAACAGAGAGACTATAGGCAGGTTTACTGAACCTTTCACTTAAACAAATATGAAAGTCTATTTCAAGCATTCAGGTGATGCTTTAAAATCTAATTACCTGCTTTGTTTATGCTATTCAGTGTTTTCTCACTCAACGGAGAGTTCACTTTAATTACTCAAGAGTCAATTACAGTCATTTTGCTCGTCCCAGAACACGCAAATCAGTAAAATGAGGGAACTTCTGTCTGGCTCAATTCACTAAGTTTTGTTTGTTTTTGCATGTCTGAGAAATGTGTTGGCTTATCTGCAGGTACAGAGCTGTGAGAGGATGAAAGAGCACACACGGTGACATGGGTTTATGATACAAAAGAGCTGCCAGCTCCATTCACACAGTGTACAAATTCATAGAAAGGTGAAGCACTTCACCCCCGACTGCTCCAATGACCTTTCTTAGTGGTCAGCATGGTGAACAGTTTTCTGGGGGCATGTATTCAAAGGAATTCATGAGGTTTTCCTTAAAAACAGCAACATAGCTGACTTGGTCTGGTATTGATTTATGACTCATTAGTTCTGCCTCTTTCCTATCCACATCAACGGTTTTTCCTGCAACCAAAACTAGGCTGAAACGCAAGTGGACAATTTTTTCTTGGATCGTAAATGGAAGAAAAAAAGAACAGAGTGTTCAGAACGCCTGAAGTCACGTCCTTTACCAACACACATACTCCATCTATAGAGATCATGACAATGCAGATGGCACACAGATATTGTTAGGAGAATTTTCTTTAGCCAATCACGTCAGCCTTTAGGGTGGTGGAACTATGTAACTCAGATACCATGGATACGATTCCTGGAGCCACAGGCCTCTGACAACCATCCTCAACAAGGACCTTGTACACAGTTTTAACATCACTCAGGCTCCCAAAATATGTTGTACTGTGGTTTCCCCCTATATGGGCTCTCTATATTTTCAACTTGGGCTCCTTGAAATATGTTGTCCTTTGTTCTTACCCTACATGGACTATCCTTCAGGTCAACAGGATGTCAACAGAATGTTTGGAAACATGGACGGCTATATATACCTGAACAGTCTCAGACCAGTCTTTGTTACACATGCTGAAGCTGTAACCCAGATCTGCAACCAGTAAAACTTGTCAAACTGATCATTCGTGTGGACCTTCCATTCTTTTAAGTGTGAACCTGGGCTAGGTATCCTTACAGATATAGATATAAAATTATTTCAAAATGTGACAAGCATCCCATTTTATTGTGTATTTTACATAAGAGTGACTGGACCTGCAACAAATTCACCCAGATGAAGGAGGAGAATTTATTCTAACTTGGTTATGGCCAGATTTAACAATCACAATCCAGCCTTCGGTCATCTCCAAGTTTCTGCAAAATCCTACAAAATGCATTCACATCTTGTTTGAAGCTAGGACTGGGCGATTATATGATTGTGATCGATGATCACGATAAATTTCAGTTCGATCATGGTGATCAGCTGTGAGCATATTTACTCAATCAAACATAGTGGAAATGTGCGTCACAACAGTCAATCAGAGTTGAGTTTTTCCTGCTCCCTTCTGTAAGTTGCCGGAGAAGTAAACAGGAGAAGTAAACAGAGTGACCAAACATGGAGTTAAATGCGGAGCTGAGGGCAGCAAAATAGATGTCAGCCATGACTTTGAGTCAACCTCCGGAGATGTTGTTGTTGAGAAGTTATTCAACGTTGGTTGTATGGCAGTGGTTCGGGTATCTCCAAGGTGACGTTGAGTAATTAAGCCGATCTGCAAGGTATGTCGGCGGTTGGTGCCTCAAAAACCGGCAGACAACAAATCTGTTTAATCATTTGAAGAAGTACTTCCCAAGTGATTATGCGGAAAGCATCAAAATGTGGTGAAGTCTGCACAGCCTGTTACTGCGGACGGCATGAGTAGCATTAGCAGTTTAGCGACAACTAGTTATGCAACCACCAGACCAAACCAGCAATCAATGGTTTCATCTACATTTACATAATCTAATGTTTACATTTTAAAGCATCTTCATTATCTCTGATTTGTTTATTTTGGATCTTGCATACCTGCAAAAACACTCAGGACTGTACACTAGTTCACTGTCTTATTTAGTTTTTATCTACAGTTGTTCTACTGTTGAGTTAAAATGTTTTTTATATTTTTCTAAGTGTATCTTATTCAATTTGCTTTATTTACTTTGTATGTTGATAAAATGTTGAACTAATCTTTAGTTTCTCTAGTTTTTAGTACAGATGCTTTAAAACTGGCAGTTTAAAAAAAATCATGATAATAATCGAGATCAGACGATACGACAAATTATATCGTGATCCCTTTTTTTTGCCAAATTGCCCAGGCCTTATGTCTTTTTATGCATCGTTTCAATCTTAATTAATGTCTTCTTATTTTTTACCACCCTTGTATAAATCCATCCATACAGCCCTCTTTCTGTGTGTGTGTTATTGTCCTGTGTTTGTTAAACCCTTAATGTCTTACATAAGGCACTTAGAACCTTGATGTTGAAAGTTGCTCAAGCTTTACTTGCGAAAACAAAAGTTTCATTAACTTGGTGTGGCCCTGAGAGTCAAAGGAAGTCGACTTTGAAACAACAAGACAAAGAGTTTCTCCCGAGTCTGATTAAAATACCATTTAAAGTACTTCTCCACTCTTGGACTGTTCAATCCAAGAGAGTAATTAATCAATGAATGGAGATATATGGGCTCACAACACAGGTGTGTACAGTTAAAGTATAATATTGAGCACCACATAAGGCAGCAATCACTGTCTCCCACACAAACACACCACACCCATGTACTTTGCAAACCAAAAGTCAACAATTTGCAGAGAGTCGATAAAAGTTGCAGCAGTGCTTCTTTAAAATATGAAAGGTTAGCAGTAATAAAGAGGGGGCTGCTGCCAACAGCTGCCAAAGCCATCAAGCAATCATGTGAAATCAGCTGGAAATATGGAAATGTCATCTGCTAGTAGTGCAGGAATAAAAAGAAGTGGTTGGTCATTATAAAAACAGAGGAGAGAAAAAAGATCGGCTCAGAAATCAAAATCAAAAGAAAACAAATTCCTTTTTTGAAAAGAGAATGAGAAACCCGTCTAAAATACTTCACATAGGGGTGTGTGTGTGTGTGTGTGTGTGGGGGGGGGGTTCTGATCTATAAAACACTGAAGTCTGCCTGTGTCGAACAAAAGCAAACAAACAAATCCATCAGGTACATCGAATACAGACTTTTTCTGTCAGCTCTTTTCTGTTTGCTCTTTTTTCCACTCATCATTTTTCTCTCAAAAACTCTCTAATTTTCAGAGTGCTCTGTTCAAATTTTCTTTTCGCAGTCTTGCACAAAATATTCCCTGAATTCAAATGTAGGAGTGTCATTCCTGAGCCAGTCTGATGGATGTTCAGTTTCACATCAGAATTACGTCTCTCACTTATACATCTCTTCAACCTGTGGGCATCCTTAGAATTAAACTGGACACCTCCCTAGAAGTGCCTGTTTCATAAGCACTCATAAGTACTTGAAGGCCAGATTTGATTGACTTTATCTGATGAAAATTCTGAGACAAAAGCAGTAATCTCTCAAATTTGGATTTTAAGACAACACAAAGGACTGGGTACAAACACAGCAGTAGTCATTAATATCCATTTAACACTAAATTTTGTTGTAAGCTAAGCTCTTGATCACGAAGTCGAAGCAAGAGCTAATTGAATGTAGGGGCTAAGCTCATGCTCTGCTGTAATGTGGAAAAAGAGGGTGCACTCACGCCACGCTAGACAAACTGGGTGGCACAGTAATCATTGAAACTCAAAGCTATGGTGCTGTATGTGTTTTGTTTCAGATAGACACCATATCCAGTAGTTTGTTTTCACCCCTTACATCCTCAAGAAAGAGCTGCTTTAGGTGTTATTCTCTAAAGAGAAAAGAGGAGGTGAGTTTCTATTTTTACTATCGAATTTTAATACTTAAATAACAGCCTATAAAAACACCCCAAAGCAATCTGAACCCAAGCGGGAACATTATTTCTCCAAGTTTTGTTTTGTATGCTTGTAATAGTGTTTGTGCAGGTCTGTAAAAGGACCACAGTCTCTATGATACACTCTGTGAGAGTGTTTTTCAGTGTGTGTATGTGTGTGTGACACAAAGTGAGCTGGCAGTGTTTTCTTGGCTGCACGGTGAGACGCTATCTACAATTTCATCTGCTTGGTCGTGCCATTCGTCAGTTGACAAATCCTTTCAATACAGTCTACCTGGTCTCGCTCGCTCATCATTTTAAAGGAATTACACTGTCTGGGGAGAGAAGGAGGGTGAGGAGAGTGGGATATTAGAGAGAGAGAGGTGAGAAGAAGTTACATGAAAAGGCAGGGAGGATAGAATGGGATGGATAAGACTGGTATCGCTCCAATATTGTCAGTCAGGTTGAGAGATTTCATTGTGGCGGGACAGAGGGAGGAAAAGAGGGACTTAAGAGGGCATGTTAGGGGAGCAGAGGAGAGAGTAAAATAATGAAGAAACAACAACATAGAAATATGCTCCTGACTGTACCACTTAAAACTAACAAACTGACTTAGACCCACAAGGAATATATTAGCGGTTAAAGCATGTTGGTGTAAGAAGAAAACTGAGGAGTTCATGAGTAAAAAGACCAATGACAAGGGTTAGCTATGAGGCAAGCCATAGCAAGTCTTTCAGTGGAAAAAAAAAAAAAAAATTCAGGCAATTTAACTACAAAGCCAGACAAAAAAAGACTTGAGGGTTCCTTTTGTCTCAGTACAAACTGTTTTTCTTCATCACACAGAAGACCCATTGTGTGCCTGTCACAGCAGCCCATCTACAAACGGCTATTTCTTGTGGAAGTTTATGGTTGGGTATTTTGCCTTAGTTACAAATGGTTTATCACTGTGGTTCAAGTATGTCCCATTTACAAAGCTTGTAGTCCTTGTGGCAGTAGTCATTGGTTGAGTTAGGTATTTGGCTCACTTAGTATGAAGAATTCCCATTTTTGAACGGTCATCAGCATGACTGCAGTTACAGCTTCATTCACAAACTGTGAATGAGAAGCTTAGGGTGTGTGGCCATGAGACACCATGAGACGGGAGGCTCCAGGTCACGGCCATACACTCTTGCACTGGTTTGACCCCAACCTTGACATCCCCGCTCCACCCTCACCCCACCCCCCATTCTCCATGATCCCTGTCCGCTCTAAACTGTCCTATAGGGCAATAAATGATAATGTAATAATATCAGTCTCCCAGTCAATGGTGTTGCACAGTACAACAAGCATCAGTGGTTTCCCTTTTAGGTATACATAGCTGGTCTCTATTTAGGAGGGGGAGCGTTAGAAACCCCAGTTTCAATTGTACTCATGCACTAGCACAACATCAGAACTAATAGTGTCATTAATAACTAATAAATACCAAACAAAATTGTACGAGATAAAATCAAGTAAAAAATAAAAAATAAATAAAACACCTGTATGGCTATAACAAGCCTAGTTCACACTCTCATTAAACATTACAGGTATTCAAGTCTATAAATGTACATGATTTTTAACACCATCCACAAGTGTCCCAAATTGAAGGGTTATACACAGGTCTTTGAAAGATGAGATAAGATAAGATGAGATAAGATGAGATGAGATGAGATGAGATAAAATATCAGCACCTTTCAAATAATTCATCCAGGATTAAAACATCTTTCAGCGGTTCAGATGAGATTCAGACCCTTGCCATCACAGTACGTCCTTTTTCATACATTTCCGATTGACTTCGCTGTCGTATGAGATGATACAAATAAGCAACAACTCTTGAAGTAAGAAACCTCTTTTAAGGAGAACGATTGAGTGTTTGCCTCACTGATTAAGTAACGCTGGGTGTCCTTTAAAAGTGTGTTTTTCATGACCAAAAGCAGGACTAAATCAGGACTATATCAGACCCAAGTTGTTGTTACTTGTTGTACCCTCTTGACAGGACCCTTTCAACTAACTAAATCCAAATGCCCAAATCCCGCCTGGTTTTCTGGGCTAGCTGGTATTTATCTGACTTATCCAGGACACTGAACGGGCCCCCTGCCAACTCTTCACCCTTTCTGCTCCAAACTAGTATAATTTGTTTTCTGCATGCTCAGTAATAAATCTTTTATGACCCATTCACCTTTGCAGTTTCAATTAAATGCCTTTAGCTATTGCTCCAGAAAGTTTGAGAATTAATTTCTGTCTTCATCTAAAATGCTGTTTCAACATTTCACTGGGACAAATCTTAAATGCTGCCCTCACCGCTCTGCTCAGTTCTGACAAAACCAAGAACAAGAGAGGGTGAGAGAGAGAGAGGAGAGAGAGAGGAGGGAGGCACCAGTCAGGTAGGAAAGTAGCTGACTGCACTTTTTTTTTTTTTCTTGTGAGGACTGTAACATGGTATAAAGCGAGACAGAGATGTGCAAGAATAAAGGGGAAGGGAGGGCAGGGTGAGAAAAAAGAGAAAGGGGGGAAGATGATCTGATGAATGCTGAGAAAGAACAAAGGACAGAAGAGGTGTTGAAGAGTAGAAAAATAAAGTGGTTATTGTAAACAGGGAGGAATTCACAGAGTCAGAGCTGAGACTAAAAAGAACAATAAATAAAATTAAATTAAATAAAAAAAAACAGCAAAAAAACACTCAGGTATGCCACAAATCTCCTTCTTATATCATGTATAGAAAATGCTCACTCATCATCTTCACATCATACCATACACCAACATCAAACGTGAGTTTCAACACCACGATTGCTGAGACTTGATTTCTGATGGACCCGCTCAAATTACCAACTGTAGGTTCTTGGAACTCTCTACGTTAGAAACCAAGCAGCATCACTGTCGGCACAAGCTCACCAGCCAATTTGGATATTTAATCTTACACCTGGAAAGCCCATGTACGCTGCATTCTGTCAGAGCCACTCTCTCTGCAGAAAGTACAGCTTTGCAATGCCATGCTACGCTTCGAGCAGGCTTCCAGTGAGCCGGAGTGCGTGGCTTCAGACAGAGCAAATCAGAGAAGTGGCACACAAACATCCTGTGGATTTTCTAGGTTCTTTAAAAGTTCTGTAACTTTAATATAATTAAATTTGAAAAGTAACTCCTTAAACTACAGAAACTCTCAACAATGCTTTCCACAAAAGAGACAGAGAGTGAGAGGAGACTATGTAACAGCTAGTCAACTGTGCAAGACTCAGTAAAATCAATCACCTCTTGCACATTGCCATTTTGCAGAAGCGCTGGAACAAACTGAGTAATATAAGTGTCCCAGTGTGTGATTTCACATTGTATTTTGGCGTTGCAGGACTACCAGAGGTACTGCTTGTGAACGCGCAGCGGAAACGCCTCGTCATACGTAGCAATCATGTTCCCCTTGTTCTGCTCCTGTTACTACCCCTTATAGAGGACATTATGCCTACATGCATCACACTTTGCAGATGAGACATAACAGAGAGGTGAATATCATGATTACAGCTCTTTTCTTTTTTGTTACAACTGAACTCTGAGATTTAATCAACCAAAAATCAATTCGGTCAGTTAAACAGTGACCATTATGAAGTAATCTTTTCACAGTAAAATAAGAAAATGCTAATCCTGAAGGAAAAAAGTGGTCCAGAAGTAAGTGAGTGGTAAAGAGAACTGGGGTGGAGAGTTCTGGGAAATAACACGGAAAGAGGGAGAGGGGATGAGAGCGACAAAGAACAAGGGTTAAACCTGTTTATTGTCAAACAGGCTGAAAAATAACAGAGATCCAACAGAGCCTGACAAATAGAGTGCCTTACACAGGGAACAAGAGAGAGGGACCGTACCGTATGGAATAGAGGAGAGAAAGGGGCAAGAGGAGGTTGGAAGTTATTGTCTCTCTTTTTTTTTTTTTTTTTTGACGTTTCGGGAGTGTGTTTCTACACTCCCTCTCTCTGCTGTGTGTTTTGTGTAATCTCTCTAGGAGTGCTGGCTACAGGAAATACCGATCCCTTTCAGGCCGTGCAAGAGCTGAATTGACTTTGTATACTTTCTTGTCAATGACCCTGTGTGTTGATCTTTGTGGATGTGTTTGTGTGCAAGCTTGTGTGTTAGTGCAAACACATGGCTGACACCAGAGGAGAGACATTTAGAAGAATTTTCATTCACTCCCTCCGTCTCTTTCTCACTCCTCCCTTATTTTCTCAGTTTTGGTCATATTTCTATTCTAATTTCACACTTCACTGAGCGAAGTTAAATGATGACCAGCAAAACTGTATCTGCAAATACTGCCTGTGTGCATATGTGAGTGTGTGTGAGTGTGAGAGAGTTTTCACACATATTAGTAATAAAGGCATTTCTCCAAAAAAAAAACAAAACAAAACAAGAAAGTATCTGGACCAAAAGAGAAAAATGAGAAACATATAAGAAAAGTGTGTGTGTGAAGTGTGTGTCCCCTGTTGGCCATGAGGTCCCCTCTTGGTGGAAGTGTTATGATGCCTAATTCCCCTCTTGGATAGGTAGGCAAGTACACACACACACACACACACACACACACACACACACACACACACACACACACACACACACGCTGACCTAATAGCAGGTGATAATGGTACATGGTAGTGCATCTTCTAAGGGTCAACAGCCATTCAGATGTTACCATCACTTCGCTAATAAAAACTTGAAAACAAAATTATCTTGATCTTTAAAATACTGTTTTTCAAACTCCACAGGCAGGAAATGATATTAGAAAAGGAGGAAAGCATCTAGGAAACGATTAAGAATAAGTGGGAAGAATAAAGGGAAGGTAACAATGACAAGGGAAGTGGGAAAAGGGAATAGATGGAGATATATTTCATTATAAACAGAAATAAAAAGAGGAAAAGTACCACTTGTCCATTCTGGGGGTTTTTGTGGGCATAGGGAGGACCTCTGATGTGATTCCACATCTGACCAGATGTCATCGCAAAAACCACACACTATAATAAAGAGATAGAGAAAGACACAGACAAAATAACAGTCAAGACATTAAATATAAATCTATCAGCTGCAAACAGAAGCATTTCCACTATGAATTTAAGCTGTTTTATATATTTCCACACAAACTGTGTAAGACAAGCATTCTTCAATTAAGCTATCTTTCTTGAAACAGACAGAAATTTGTCAAAAGTAGATGTTTATATAGCCATTGTGTCTGGTACACTCTGGTATACTGCACATCTGGCTTTAAAGTAGATCCTTTACACAGAAAAAATAGTATAGATATTTCTTCTCAGAGGCAATTTAAGTTAATTTTCCAACAGGACTCAATATATGTGTGTGTTTCTGTGAGTTTGTTTGGGTGAATGTAACTTTGCGTCATACCAGAGCAGCCATGGCCCATCCAGTCTTGTTGTAGATGAACTCCAAGTTGTTCCTCCTAAGATACAACAGACCTCCAACCAGCGAGACCAACAGGGCTAAAGCTATGGTACCTGAATAATTAGGAGGCCGGAAGACACGGATCTGAGAGAGAGAGAGAGAGAGAGAGAGAGAGAGAGAGAGAGAGAGAGAGATACTGTTAATAATACATTAAAGTTATTGAAACTTTTATGCCTGCCAATAAATCCTCTAGAATTGGACGCAAGAGTAAGAGAGATTGAGAAAGAGCGCTGTTAAATAACTCTTTATTCAAGGGTTTCTTTTATTCATTTGAGGGTTAAAAAATCAGCTGCTTTCTTTCTATTTTCTCAAAGTTGAAATAACTGCAAACAAATTTGGTTTGAACTGGCACCAAATCCATGTTGCTTCTTTCTTATTTTGAAACTGAAAGAATTAATTGCTCAGTACAAGCCTTTAGAAAATAAATGCGTATAATAAAAAAAGTATGATATATTCAATACAACCCTTTTTAATCAAGTGTGTTTGTATTTCTTGCTCCCAACAGAGATTTATGAAATGGGTCCAGAGCCTTAAACTGTTCTCCCATTGACATGTACACAATATCAAGTCTAACTAATAAAAAGATCGATACAGAACAACGAATTAAAAAGCTATGTGTCTCAGAGATGGCTCTGCGAGATAAAAGATGACACTTAGTGTAGTGTGAGTGCTTCCCCCCACATGCTATGAAAGGAGGCCTTTTGAATCCAGATCCATCAACGGGATGTCAGCAGGCTTCTTGGACTGTCTGCAGAGGTTGAAGGTTTGAGCTCTTAAGCTCGAACAACTTAATTGCAGAGACATCTAAAGCACACCTCAATGTACAACACTCAGTCTCTTAGCTTCTCAAGGCTGAAAGACAACCTGCTCTTTGCATCAGTCATAACATTGTAAGATGCACCCTCTTTGCCCATTAAGTAACTCGACCACCACTGTAAGCATAAAATCACCTGATATGTGTGTGTTATATAAATATGTGTGTGACAACGTAGTTTTTTTAGCCTCAGCTGTGTTGCGTATTAGATTTTGTGCAGCTCCCTCTTGAGCCACAAAATGTTTTGTGCAGCTTCTTTTTAGCATGTGCACTTGTATTCTCCAGATGACCTGTTATCTTCGGTATATTTTATGATCCATGACAGCTCAAATCACCACATCAGTCTAAATGAACTACATCAAGGTTTTATAAACTGATATTTATACACTAACAATTGAGCAGATGGTAGATTGTGTGACACATAACATTTGAAGTACCTGAACATCTGTGCGGTCTGCGATCCACTTGGCCAGCTGCTCAGAAGCAAAACCAATCCTCTGCAGGTCAAAGGTGTCAGCCCTCTTTGGCTTCCCCTTAGCTGGGAAATGCATGAAGGTCGGGGCGCTGTTCATGTTCAACTAGAGGGAAAGAAGGAAAAAGAAGGTGTGGAGGACGTTAACTTAAAGTCATCAGTGACTTATCAGTCAAATCAAATGACATTTCAATTTAAGATAAAGTCACATAATCCATTTTAATACTTTTAAACAACAGACTGATGACAAAGCTTTAATAAAAAGTTTATTTTGGGTGCTCTGTATATGTAAATGGCAGTTAATTTTGTCTATAAGTTATGCAGTTATGCCACTTTATTTTCTGCCTTTATTTTGAGGAACACCACTCTAATTATGATACTTAATGTTATCGCAGGAACAGCATGCTCACCATGCTACAGAGTTGGTAAAGCATGCAAACAAACTATTTACATTTGGTATCCTGTGTTGAAACTTGTGAACGGTTATTTTATTGTGGTTCGCTACGTGTTTTTTGTGTCATTGTGTGTGTGTGTGTGTGTGTGTGTGTGTGTGTGTGTGTGTGTGTGTGTGTGTGTGTGTGTGTGTGTGTGTGTGTGTGTGTGTGTGTGTGTGTGTGTGTGTGAGGAAGAAGAGTTGCTAGCAGGCTGAGCTCAAATGTAATGCCCTTGGAAGCAGAAGTAGGTAGGAGGAGAATGATGGTGTATTCATTGTAAAAGGAGTGGTTCATTTTATTTAAAACAAAGAGAAACTGTCATTATTTTTATTTGAATAAGAGTTGCAACTCATAGCAGTTACAAGAGTGAATTCATGTAAAATTTATTAACTTTACTAAAAGTCAAGTCGAAGTTTAAAATGTGAACATGATTTCAATGTAATTTTTACTGAAATCTGGCACTATGGCATTTGAAGCTCTCTGCATCTTGTGTGGTAATTCCAAATGGGCCGCTTCAGTGTAATGTACTAAAAGTTTTTGCCTCAGTTAGTCATTAAGTTTCATTAAGTACATAATTGCTTGATATCTTGATATTGAAATTTTGCCTTAATTATGGATGAATCGCCTTAATAATGGAGCAGTTGAAGAAAGACAGGACATTTTAGTAGAAGACAGTGGGAACTGATTTGCAGCAAAGAGGAGTCAAACCAGTGGCCACATGCAGAGGATGTCAGCCTCGACTACATCATCTCCAGGATGAAACCTTAAAAGCACTGTATGAAATTTGATGATTTATTGGAAACACAATTTTATTCTTTGTACAATAAACGGACAGATCTATTTGGACTTGACTTTGATGTTAAAGCTTTAAATTATAAATTAACTCAGAGGCACAGAGACGAGGAAATAACCTCCAAAGTTTACAAAGTGAGTAAGGATGGTCTATTTCTGTCCTAATATATACCTTGATGTGTGTGTGTGTGTGTGTGTGTGTGTGTGTGTGCACGTGTGTTTGCGTTTGTGTGTATGTGCACTGACCCATGTCTTTGTTATCACAGCTAATGATTAGATAAAGAGAACATCCCTGATAACTCCATCTTTGCATGAATAGATTTGTCTTCACAAATGAATAAGTCTGTTTCCCCTCTTAATACTTAAACACACACACACACACACACACACACACACACACACACACACACACACACACACACACACACACACACACACACACACACACACACACAGCCATTTCCTTCTGTTTTTTTTCTCTCTTCATATTTCACACTTATTTAACTTCAAATCCCACAACTCTCTATAATCATCAGCAACAACGCTGTCCACTATTTTTCCTGTTTCCCCAAGACACCTGAAGAAAATGAGGAGGAGGGAAAGGAAATGAGCAGAGATCAGCAGAGGGCAAGATAACGGAGGGCTGACATTTTGTGCATCCTATTAGTGGTTACTGCATGTGTGCGTACTTGGAAATAACATGTCTGGATTTCCTTGACGACAATGCAGAACATGCATGTATGCATGAATATACAAGAATACATGGACACATTGTATGATCAAAATCAGAGCAAATGGATTTGAATTTGATTCAATTTCTTTCAACTTAAGTGTTATTTTCCTGAAAGAGCAGATGAATGAAATAAAGTACAAAAAATTGTTTCACGATTTTAAAATGTATACTTTTTTGTGCACTTGTAAGAGAAACAATCCAAGTTTCATTAGAAAACACAAACAAGACAAACCGTACTGATCTTGTTTAGGGAGCAAGGTAATTTGATTAAAGAGCAAAATTGTGAAGCCCGTGGAGGGTGGAGCCTCCTGGGGTTTTGAAGCCTGTGAAGGACATTTGCATCCTTAAGAAACATATCAGCTCTCTTGGTATCTGCATTCGCTCACTAAATATAAATGGGTTTGGGACAAATGTTCAGACGAATGCAACAGTGGGCTCTGGAGACTTCTGAGATGCATTGTTCTTCACAATTACTGAGCCTTTGTTGGCTGATTAGGTGATTTCAGAAATAATCAGATTGATGAGGAAATTAATCACGAGTTACAGTTAAGTTTCTGATGGTTTGCTGCAGCTGTGTGACAAATAAGAAGCAGAATTTGGTTGCACCAGAATATTATACCCAATCTAACCGAGGGGGATCAGTGCATCAAAATGCACAACTTATACCAGCTTAGTTTACTGACTTTAACTTTGAGGCTCTGTCTTGTACCATCTCTCTTTTTGTCATGTTGAGGTTTGCAATCATGATAGCTACAGGAAACATAGCTGACTGACTAAGCTTAACATAGACTATTGTGCTATACACTAAGAAAATGTCGCTTCTGCATTTAGACTGAATTATTAGTCACACTATTATAGAAGAAGACAGAAACTCTTTTCTTTTTTAAATCTTAAAGAAAGTTAAGAAAAGAGTGTGTTATCCACCGAATTCTTGTCTTGCATGAGAGTGGGGACTTTCTGCCAACTTTTTTCAAAGAAAGATCTGGACTCTCTAAGCACAGGTGCAGGATAAGGGTAATGTTGTCATCGCTAACTGTACCCAATTCTGGCAGTCTTGTACACTCATCCAGAGAGCTTCAGCTTCTGATGGACCTCAGTGATGCACAGTGAGAATATGGGCCTGAAACAACAACTTCTTTCTCCTGCATCTTTGTGTTTGACTTTTTATGTGCGTGAACTTCTTGCTTTTTTCACTTCACTGCTCTAGAAGGTTATTTGCAAATCTATCTCTAAGTTCTAAAGGCAGCTCCCTGTCCAGTGGGAATCAGAAGGAAAAAGGGAATGGAAAAAGATGAAAAGATTGAATGGCAAAAGACAAAGGGGAAATGTTTGACTGGTTTAAAAAAAGGTTGAAGGTGAATACGATACAAAGGAAGACAGAGTCACTGAGGTTAGCAGAAAGAGATGGGAGAAGCTATAGTTGTGAATGATGATAGGCCAGATGAGGAAGCAGCTCCTCTTCAAAGACTGGAGGGTTATAAAGTGAAAGAGAGATCACAGTGAGAAGAGTTTCATTGTAACTCTGAATATTTGCCCCACAATTTAACTTTTCTTTTTTTCCACTATGTAACAGTATTTGGTTTGGCTTATTTATCAATATGCAAGGGAATCTTTTTTTGCCACAACAGTTGACATAAAAGAGAAAAAGGACCTGGATGTAAAAAAGCGTGTAATCATTTTGGGCTGTTTACATGGTCAACAGCGTCAACACTGACAGATCTGCGGCTATATGTTTTTGTCTTTTATCCGTTTCATGGGCAAAAGCATCAGTGCATGAAGACTTTTTCAAGTGCATGTTTATTGACCTGATTAATCAGTGTCTCTAGCTACCATAGTATGTTTGAATTTCATTGCAGTAAAAGACCTGCATAGCTTCAAAGTCAAAAAGAGGTGTGCTAGCAGACAGCTGAAGTAGGAATTTCAGAGGCAAAAGGCAAATGATAGGCTTAGATGAGCTTATTTAACTTTGATAAAATAACAAACATCTCCTCACCTGTTGGAATACATCTGCCCCTTCGTCGTAGTCCACCACCGTGAAGAAAAGCTTGTTGGAAAAGGCAGATGAGTAACGCCAAGAGTTGGCCAGGACCTGATACTCCTCGTTGGCCTGCCTGTAATGGTGAATGAGAAATTAAAATCAACAACTTAGAATATTAATAACTTTATAATGCATCATGAGTAGGTTATTACAGGACTGGGGCCCCATCAGGGTGAGGAGAACTCTCACCGTAAAGAGCTTCTAATCAGCTATAACAACCAGTTTGGTTGTTTGGTTTACGTCAAACATCATCATCTTTCTTTGCTACTTTACACTGAGGGAAAAAAAATGACCATCCAATGGCGGTCTGCCTTGTCCCTTCTGATTTTCTCTTCACTCAGTCCGTCTATCAACACTGCCGACACTCAATACAGTTTCATTGAGTGTCAATACAGTTTCATTAAGCTCCTTGTGTCTTTTGACCTCTCAGTGTTTCTGTGTTATTATCTTCTGTGTTTTTTTTACATCTCTGCAGGTAATTTGTAACCAAGTATGTTGATAATCAATTACGACTGCTAAGAAAAACTGATCACCATAGTGACAATAATAGTCAGAGGTGAAATGTGCCAAAGAAGTCTCCACAGGTTGATTTGATTAGCCGTGTGGCATCATGTTTCCCCTGGCAACACGTTTCTATCCATCAACAAACTACTGCATAAACCAAACCTCTTTTTTTTACCTTCTTTTTTGTAAAGAAAAGACTGTAGACGGAGCAGAAAACAGGGAGAGTTGGGATTGACATGAAGGAGAGAGGTCATAGGTTGGAATCAACCTGGGCTGTCCACCTGAGAATTGTACACTCGATGTACGATGCATGTTAGGACCGCTGGACCAGCGGCGCCCCATTAAGTGATCAAACTCAAATTCTTTGTACAGCTGGGTAATAAATATATACATAATAGTGGTCCAAATAGGCTTCAAATGAGTTAAGACTTCAAAAAAGGACAATTTGTCTCAGGTAAACAAACTCAAGTGCCAATTGATAGCTGACTCTTCAGAGATATCTTTTAATCTGACAAGTTACAAAAGCAGCAACAAATATTAACTAAAATCATCTAAAAACAGAATGAGAAAAAATAGTTGAACATTATTTCTGAGATCATGGAGAACTAGTGCGATATTTAACAAAGAATTTGTAAATAAATTTCACACTTTCCACTAAACAGTGCACCTTTATCCTGTTTTGCAGACCCCGGGGCAGGTATAAAGAGAGAAATTATCAAAAAGGAATTAATTTTCAAGCACACAAAAAGGAAAATGTTTACTCAAGATCTCCCTTTGACATGATTGCCAATTATTTCCCTCTGACTTTGAATTGACTTCATTTCCAGTTTGTTCCAATCATTAACCTGCTCTTTGTTTTCCTGAAAGCATTGCCTTTGACTTAATCAAATCAAACTTTATTTACACAGCACTTTTCATACAAAAGGAAATGCAGAACGAAGAGCTTTACACATTAAAAACAGTCTCTAACACCTCCACCCCCCGGCGAGACCCCAGCCCAGCACATACACACATACACATACACACACACACACACACACACACACACACACACATACAGACAACACAATCTCGCCTTGGACTTTGCTGAGCTTTGGCCATCTTTTTTCACATTCAAGAGAAAATAAGTGTTGTATTTTTTTCCCCAGGTAGAGTGAAGTGGTGGCATACAAAAGGAGGACAAAATGGGTTGCAAACGATAGCGCAAAAGAAGAAGAAGTAAGCAGGTAGCAAATGAGAAGAGACAGCACCTAATAAAGAAAAGTGTTCAGAAGGTGGGGAGGAAAGAAAGATGAAAGATAAAGAAGAAAATGTGAGTATCTATTTTTTTACACCACAGTGGTCTTTACTGCTGACTAATCTTGTGCCATATTATCTTTTATTTCCCATTAACTCAGCCAAATAAAACTGCTACTTTGACCAGTCATGGCCAGCCGAGTCTATCTCCTCATCCTCCTACATGGCGGGAGGAACACTAAAGTGACACAGAGTTCTTTTCTATTACCTCCCCTCCTCCTATTTGACTGTATGTTGCTTTCTTTCTGAAAAAAACATCCCTTTGACATCATGTCAACTGCCTCTTGTGTTGGCTTTAATTAGTGAGAAATTGTCTGTCAGGATGTGTTATCTGCTGTGACGTTTCATTGTTATCTGTACGGCTAATGTTAGGGTGTTTCCCTTTGAAGTGTCGAGCGATTTGAGTCAGCTGAGATGAAGTTGAAATTTGGGCCAAAAAACTGTCAGGGATTACAGCCCGCATCTCTGTCTCTGAACACTACAACGCTCGAGTTTAGCAGTATCACTAAAACACCATTTTTTTTTAACTCCTCTTAAAATCGATGTTAACTTTTTTATTGATTATTTATCTCTGACAGCAGTCTGGACGATGACTGATTTTTCTCAAGGCTTTCAACAATGGTTATTCCATGCTAGAGTCTAAAAATGAGGGCTGTGTGGGATCAATTCAGCCTAAAGGCAATAACAGAGGTTATATGTCAACTGTGTGATGCCGTACTAAAACTCACATGAAGAGTTAACACAAGCATCATCAAATGATACCACTGTAGACTAACACTTTGCAGGGATGCATGTCCGTGTTTGCCATGAATATCATAAAAAAGCATGACATTAGCTTATTACTGTTTTCATGGTTGCTGTGCTGGTCTGGATGTGAAGGCACAGTTGAAGGGTCATAAATAGAGATATAAAACCTTTCTTCCATCAGTCATCTTGGGAAATGTCAACTCTCTGCCCAACAGAACCGACGAGCTTGAGAAATTGGTGAAGACTAAGAAAGCACACTGTGAGTGCAGTCTCCTGTGTTTTACTGAAACCTGGCTAAATCAGAACAACTTGGACTCCAGTGTGGATCAACCTGGCTTCACTCTCATAAGACAGACAGACCTCAGACAGAGGTGCCAAAGCTAGTGGCAAGAAGGAAAGGAGGAGGTCTGGCTTTATTTGTTAACCAGAGATGGTGTCACTCTTCTCAGTTGCTCCTCAACCATACTATGTTCCAAGGGAGTTCAGTCATTTCATAACAATACTTGTATACATCCCACCCAAGGCAACGGCTGAAGTTCTGGGTGATGTTCTCCGTGAAACAATTGACAAATTACTGACTCAACATGGTGACAAACTGGTGAAAAAAACTGGCTCTGTGGCTGGAATCAAGTTGGACTCGATGGAGGGTGTGGTGGAGGGATGTACACTGAGAAAGGCAGTGACTAAAATACACAGATAACTCACTTCATAACACCTTAATGGACCAAAAAAAAAAAAAAACGGTGGCGGATGGCTCCTCTCTCTGTGCAGAAGGACGAAGAGATTCAGAAGATCTTTTGTACCAACAGCCATCAGACTTTTCTATTCTTCTATAAATAGTAGATTAGATGAGATTCCAGACAAACCAATTTCCCTTTGGGGATCGATAAAGTTCTTGTATTATATTGTATTCTATTATTGTATTATTAGTGGTTGATATTTGATCACAACTTTCAGTAGGGACACCCCCCTCACATTTAGGATGCTTTTGTTTCCAAAACCATTTATTTTCCTCCATCTTTGTCAGCTGTCTGGTGAGTAATCACTGCAAACACGAGTCACTCTCCGCTACAGGAAAGTGCCCTGACCAATAATTAGACACTTCCCTTTATTCACTCGTAAAGGATGTGATCTCGGATGTAAAAAAGATGCCCCGGTGCATTTTGAATGCCAGTCTTTATGTGAGGATTTACAGTGTACCTGAGCTACGATAACTGTTCATGTGCTCTCGCTCTGTACAGAAGATGACTGTTCACCTGTTTTTGCTCATTAATGATTCAAAACATTTGCTATTGACTTGTGTTTATTCATGCTCTGTGTATTTTGTGAGGTTAAGATTGTACTTTTTAGTTCACAGTGCAGCAGGCATGTCTTAAGTTTAAACCCTTTTCTACTTTTTCCTTTGTTCCTGCTCCTATACATATTACTTCCTGTTTCTAAAAAGCACATTTTTAACCCAGTCTTGGCAAACTAAAAGTGACCAGATTTAATTTGCAACCATTAATTTTAAACATTAATTGTTTTGGTGCATGCAGATAGGACAGAATATGTTGTCATGTAATTATTTTAAATTCCTTGCTTGAATATTTTTCACATTGCTTTCTCTTGATCAAATATGTTGTCTTCAACATCCACTTTTTGCTGGTCGTTTGAAATGGGAGACGGCCTTTAAATATGCTGATGTAGAACTTTTATAAAGTCTGTCAGCTTGTTCCCCATGTTATGTAAATGAGCATGGCAACCAAATCATTTAGTCCAACGACAGTATTCATATCTGTCTCAGTGAAATAAACCAGCACAACAAGCTTGGGGCATCCATTATTGAATAATTACAAAACTATTCTTAATTATTAATTTTTTTAAAGTCTGGTAATGAGAATGCTACAGACTGCTGTGAACTCCCACATGAATGATCTTTGACAATAATCCAACATGAATTATACATTAATTGAATGTATTGTTGGCAGTATGATTTACGCTGCCATGTTTCTTGTCTTTATTATTTACATACTTCTTTAACAGTTATTTTCTTTTAAATAACATTTGCATTTCAGTCTCATGTAACTTTCTTGTGCTTTTGATTACATTATTGTTGGGCTTGTTTTAAATCCATAGCATCTGTCATACAGCAAAAGCTTTCGTACCTCCAGCATCTTCCCAGGTAACATGTTTAAACATGTTTCTGATATATTTTCAATGCCTTTGTGTTTATGTTTGTGTTTGTGTACATACCTGTGTCAAAAACGATTATCTGCCTAATTGTCTGTGGTCTATAGAACATATGCTGGTTTTCTTTTAAATTTAGGAAACATGGAGTAAACCCTAATTATTTTCACATTAAAAAGATTTGACAGCATGTGTTTTCATGTGAAGAAAGAACAAAACAAAACATTGGCACATCTGGCAGCATCAATAAGAAGTGTGAAGCTCTGAGAAACGTCTTTCTCAAGGTGTGGAAATACAAAACCAGTTGAACTGCTAATGAGAAGAAAGTAGAGTGAAATAAAGAAAAGGAAAATCAGAGAGGCACAGAGTCAAAGAAAAGGTGTGTTTCAGTAAATAAAAGATCGCAAATCCAGCCAAAATAAGTTCACTTTTACCCCACAGAGCTAGATGTGAACAAGACACTGATTTGAAGTCACATTAAAAAGACACTGCTGTGTTTTGGAAACATGCTGAGATTACAGAATAACAAAAGTTCAGACTGTATCTTTAAGTTCAGCATAACAGTCTGTTTCATTGCCTTAAGTTAAGGGGTAAACCTGCAGCATTATTTGGGTTTTGTTATCCTAGTACCTTTTCTATTTTTTTTAGGCCTGAGGCCATCAAGGACAGGCTCTGTAATTGAATTAATACTGTATGAATTAAGACTTTCAAACTTTCTAACACTATTTGATACCTTGTCCATAAAAAGTGACATGATGCCTGTCATTTCTATGTCTGGTGGTTGAGAGAGAGTACAGAAAGTATGGAAAAACTGTTAATTTACTGTTGTGTTTTTAACCAAAATGTGTTATAAGGGAAAGAAAAAGAGCAGTTGTTTTTCAATCTAATCTGATCTAATCTTCCCCTCTGCACAAACGTGCAGGGAGGACCTGGACTCTGTTTGAAAGCAGCTGTGCCTCATCCTGCTCACCGCAGGTCTCTCCGCTCTTAATCACACCAGCGGGACCTGCACAGCTGCAACGCCGCCTACTGTTCTCATTTACCAGTTTGCAGATACCAGCACTCTATTTAGTCCTTTTGCTTTTCCTACAGATGCCTATGTTACATTTGTGTTTCTAGCAGACCGAGTACAGAGACGAGAGACAGCACATTATCTCATCATCTGGATCTTTTTTATGAGATTCTCTGCACAACTGCAAAGGACTGACACACAGCACAGTACCAGAAGAAATATAGCTCTGGTTTCTGGTCTCATATAAAAAAGTCTTACCTCTGGGTATTCTGGAAAAAAGCAAAAGTTCAAAAACCCTGTTAGTACTATTTGTTATGCAACAGTGACAAAGCTTCTGAGTGACGTGGAAGGACCCTGGTTATCAGCCATCTTTCCACAGCCTGATAGCTCAACACAGAGGCTGAGGTCACCATCTAACATCCATCTCTCACTTAAACTCTCGGTGTCGCTCTCTAATGATGTGATGCTATCGCTTATGTTAATGAAGAGAATGTCAGGGGAAATGAAAAGAGAGAGAGAGAGAAACACACACATAAACAAAATGAGATGAAACCGACAGGCAAGCAAGAAAGGGAATTAAAATCAGGGAACACAAGTAAATTAAAACAGAGAGACCTTAATGAATGCATATGACACCTAAAAAGAAATAGTTTACTCACTGCTTGTGAGGTGGTACCGGTGTGAGTGCAGGATGAGAGGATTTTTGAGCTTTTTTAAATCCTGTACAACTGTAAGCTACAAGGCAATAACACTGTTAACCCCTTCCCCCTCAACAGCCAGTAGTCAGAGACACTGATTTGCAAGTGTGTGCGCAGCTGATTAAATGGTTGCCAAGTATAAAGGACCACAAGAGCAGCAGGGATATAGTGTTTCGTTAATCCATACACAATTAAAGGAGTAAAATAAAGAATCCACCCTTTGTCAAGGGTCCAACGCAACCCCCCTCATTTTTGACCAGAAAAGCTAAGGAGACCTTCTTGAAAACCTGCTGCCACAAATTGAACTGAAATACCAATTTAGACTGGAGTAGTATTATCAGAGGACCCCTGTAGGCCCTGAAATCTGGCAGGCAACTTGTTCCAAATATTACTTTATGAATTACAAACCTGGTCAGGTTGCATGGGTTTAAAAACTCAGGCTACCCATATGCTGTACATTACAACTTATTAGAGGTCCCTGTGTAAAACTAATCGAGGATTTATGATTTGACTCCAAGATTTGTAAGACATTTGGAGATAATCTGTTTCTTGTGTGAAACAAAAAGACAAAAGAAAGAGCTAAAGGGTAGGAGGAGAAACAGAGAGACAGTGATAGAGATTGTGGGTGTTGAGGGTGCTGCCATGAGGGATAAATAAGTTATCTTGTCAAGTGACAGCTGAAGTAGAAGAGTGGCTAATTACAGAATTAAAGTACCAGGGTCAAGATGGAGAGGGTCTATGTTTATTTCATTAAGCAGTAAATTGCCCCCGAGGCATCAAGACATTGGTCAACTTCCTAAATTATACAACACAGACAAAGCAGTCATGAATTCTTCAAGACAAGCCAGCAGAAAGTATAGCCCATGAAAATGAAAGTTTCATGGCTCATCAGGCTGAAACGACACCAAAATGCTGATATTTCCCCATGAGTCTTCTTTTTGATATGAACAGATGGGATAAGCAAATTTAACAAGAGAGTAGGGATGGAGATGTGAAGCAGCTGAAACATCATTAGAGGAGTCACAAAAGATGTTACAAAATCATAAATGTGGAAGTTTAATGGAAAATAAAAGATGAAGCCATGAAAAAACAAATCTGCCCTAAAAAACACCCACAAAAAAAATTAATAAATAAAAGAAGGCTCCCTTTTGGTATTTGTTGTGTGGAATTCACATATGAGGCTCGTCCCATCATCAAAAGTTGTTTTGTGAATACAGAGTTCTAGGACACTCAGTACATAGACATGAGGTTAAAAAAATAATAGATTTACTGTGGTTGTTTGGATGGGTGAGGGCTTCAGAATAGCTGAAATTCTTTGGTACAGATCTGGATTTTACCATTCAATAAACAGTTTACCAATTGCTAAATTGTGGATTTTTATTTTTTTTTTATATGTCATGTCACCTGTCAATACTGTATATAGCTACTATTTATACACAGTATATAGATATATTAAAACATTGTTCCAGAGACTGCACTGACAAGTCTTGAGTAGCTCCAGACCGTTGACTGAGAGCTGTCCAAGGTGCTGAAATAACTGGGCCGTCAGGGTTATTATATATTATAAAGCCCTCAAGATAAGTTTCTAAATAGTTTCCATGGTTTCTACAGTAGAATGTAACTCCAATGACAGTTAACCACCCATCCCTACTTCACACGTTTGTATAGGTTAGTCATGTTAGTCTTGTTCTGTACCATTTATTTGTTTCACTATGATAGCAAAGATAGCCAGAGTCTTTTACACCTTGTTTCCAAAGATTTATACACCTGTGTCTGGAGCATTATACATTCATAAATTTAAGAAGTTTAAGGGCTTGTTTGTTCCTACTTTAGCTTGTGAGAGATTTCAGAGCTACCTGACTCCTTCAGAGTAAACTCAGAACAGAGAAAAGGACAGACATAAAGCTATATCAAGTTCTGGCCTACAACAAGATGCTCGAGTTTTGTGTGTGTGTCCGTGTGTGTGCATACCTGCATACAGAGCACTGCCTCTGAGGCTGCAGGGCGGTGAACATGACGATGACAGAGTAGTTCCTGGGTGGGGCCTTGACAAAGCGACGGAACTTGTCCCCGTTCATCCGGACGACTGAACGGCGAGAGGACCACTCCATCATCTGGTCAACCTTCTCCGACAGCAGATTCTGAACACACAGAAAAGGATAGAGGCAGAGAGGATGACATGAACCTTGAGGATCTACAGAGTTAAACACAATTATGAGCCGCGTAACTGAAAAAATCATCACGTTTAATCCTTTGAATGTTAAAATATATCTGTGCAGCAGATAAGTACCTTTTTACATGCCAATTACCTTATAAATTATATAGTATTTTATTAAAACCTATCAACCTTAACTTTTAACCACCATACTAATATTAGGTAGACCCCCCCCCCTCTCATCAGGACAGGGCCAAAAAGCTCCAACCTGATGAGACACAGACTCTGGGACACCCCTCAGATTTTCCACTGGACTGAGAGTTTGGAAAGAGGGACTTGGTGGCCACCTACAACTGGTTGTCATATTACCCTTCATTGCTCCAGATGCCCACAGGACTGTCGTTGGCACTTTCAGGGAGGTCATATTCTGGGCAGCCTCACTGCTCTGAGGTTATACAGCCCCATACACATCACATTGTACAAGACTCTGTGTTCTGACCAGCATAAACTTTTCCACTAGTATGAGCTTCAGGAGATCACACAGCCCAGCCTTTGCTTGGTAGCCCATGACCAGTAGACCAGGAACACCCTGTGAGAGCTGCCATTTTTGAGGTGCTCTGACCCAGTTGAATTGCTGCCACAATGTGGTCCTTGTCAAAATCACACTCATTCTTACAGCTGTTTATTTCCCTGTTCTCTGCACATCAACTAAAAAGTATAGTATCCCAACCATCACTATGATATAACAATAATCCATGTTTAGGCTGTCAGTAGGGCTGGGCGATATGGGAAAAAGTTTATCTTTTTCATATCAGTCGATAATGATATATATCACAATACAAAAAATGAAACTTAACAGTGCTTAATTGGTAGCATGTCTTGCAATACAATAAACTACTACATCTGTGAGGTCTTTGTGTCTCTTTAACATTTTGTAGTAAGGCTTTGCGCTAGAGAAAGTGGACTGAATGGTCGGCTGTTTTGGCTGCACAAGCACCGTGGGCTCCTTGCTCTGCTCAGGGTTTGTGACCTTTTGCATTGTGCGTGCTCTGCGGCGTGGCACTGCTTCAGGTGGTGAAAAAAATTTGAGGTATTCCCAGACTTTGCGAGAACATGTACTCGACATAATTTGTGGTGCACATTACTCTGCTTCATGTCTGACCTCAAAAAACTAAAATACCTCCACACCACTGACGTTTTGTGCCAGTGTTGTCGACAATGCCATCATCTGTTGAGCCTTCATTTGCATTTCTGCCGGGGGTAGCACTCAATTTCCCTTTTTTTCTCACCAACAGTTCTGTCAGCTTCACCTGTTAAAGTGCTATTGTTGTGTGTAGCTGCAGCCTGCTACTACGCAGTTGTTTGCTACTTGGTTCTAATTCAGAACATGATTGGTTCAGCGCGAAGCGGACCTGAAGCAACTACCCTTTTCATTGGCTCTTCGTATAGTCTACCATAACATGACAGAACCCAGACAATCGAAAAGCATATTGACCATGTTTTATATTAAAATTGAGGCAAATTAATTTTCAATACATATTGTTATCGTTTATCGCCCAGCCCTAGCTGTCAGTAACCATAGTGTAAAGAATGATTAGTCTATATTTATTTGATGCATTAAATATATTTTTTTCTTAAAAAGTACTCAAGACGGTTAATTGATTCACCTCAGAATATTAGAAAAAGTTGCATCAGTAATTATAAATTAGAAAGCTTAAAAATAGTTGATTTTGTGTTATTTGTGTTCTTTTCCTGTGTAGTTCCGAATGTGTGACTGTATGTTATGGAGCTTTCACCGCTGCAGCTGCCATGGGATTTGAGCCACTTATAGCAAAGTGACAGTAAGGAAGCCGCAGTGACATCAGTGCAGCGGCACACTCCTTCAAAATAACCGCTTTTGTTTTATCCCCTGATATCACCCAGCTTCCCGACAGAATAAATCCAATTCCTGACTTTCCCTCCCTGAAAATCAATGTTTCTTTGGATTCTATATTCAAGCATCTCTTTCACTTGCTCAGAGCATACTGAACATTCTGGCTGCTTTGTAAGTCTGAGGCCGGAACACACCAAGGTGTTGTTGTATGCCAGTTACTAAATCTATATTTTAATAGGTTTGACTCCTGGCCTTTCTTTGAATAATGGAGCGCAAACAAAGAATCTGGAATACAGCAAACTGAACCATTATTCACGGAGAAGGAGCGGAGGCCTGACTTGGCAGTCTAGGTGTGAGTGTGTGCGCACAGAAAAGCCAGAGTTCTTATGTGTATATGCGTGTGAATTGAAGGGAGCCTGCTGTTGATTAAATCCAGCACGACTTAGCGTAAAGGTCACAGCAGAGTCGGCATCGAAACACACCTCTAAAGGCAAACAACACTCTGCGAGCATGTGTACTCAAACACACCAGCCAGTGATTTCGCAAGGTTTCCAAAGCTGAAATGCCTATAAAGGCAAAATCACACTATGGGGTACGGTTCTGATAGAGCGTATGTGTGTATATGTTTGTCTGTGTGTGTGTGTGTGTGTGTGTGTGTGCGTGCATGTGGGTGTGTGTTTGGCTTTAATTCTACTTTAGGATTGCCTTCAGAGTGAAGTTCTCAGCAGGACGCCGTCTGGTTTCTAACAGCGCCATGTTTGCCAAACTTGAGCTCTGAACTGATGAGTGATGAAATACTGAGAGTTCTGATGAAACATATGCTGTTTTCCAAATTCAGCTGATCAAAATGTGCCGTGAGGGAAGCTTATTGCAATTAACACCATTTCTTTTTTTTTTTTTTTCTGCATACAGAGCTAAATCTGTGCAGAGGGTTGGTCGTGCAGAAGTGTCAACCATCTCTGCATTTTTAACATCTTCTCTTGTTTAAGCCTAGCTCTCTGACAACCCAATTGTGCGACAAGAATACAAAAGAACCAACAATAGTACGTTTGAAACCGAATGAATGGAAAGATATTCAGCGAACACAGAGTATATTAGCTGCTGACAAATTAATCACTCCCAGCGTCAAATCACATTACTGCTACATGATGTTCTTTCAGATTTTAGCAGCTGCTCTTTCTTCTACTTTTTCTCCTAAATGACAAAAAGCTTTAATAAACATAAAAAAAGTTTCCACAAAGCTCTGCCAACTTTATTGTTTACTCCTAAATGTATTATTAAAATGTCTAGCCTACTGACTCAGCTTTGTACGCTAACTTTTTCTTCTAAGCTGCAGCATCAGAGAGGCAGTACTCCAGCAAGATTGCCCACCACCTTAGCAACAGCAGAGATACTAGGAGTCTTTGGTGAGGGATACAGACCAATACGGACTACAAATCCTCACCCCGGACCTGAGACAGCGCCACCTCTCTGCTGAATGAGCATAACCACTTCATCGCTCGCTTCAAAGCAATATTCTGGTGTAAAATTAAGTTAGGGTCAAATACACCGTAACACCGAGTTAGACACCCCGTAAAGAGACAAATGTTGCCGACCGCTTGCTTCTCTAGTTATACCAACTTTAGTAACAACCGCATAATAGCAATACACAGCGGTTTATGGCTACACGCGCACACCTCAACCAAAAAGCCACTCTATAGCCACAAATAATGCTCAGAACAGCACCTAACTTCATCAACAGTACATATAGGGTCCCAGCCATAGCACTAGCCACCAAACATCTTTTTAGCTTTGCCCTGATTTCTTTAACAAAGAGGCTAAACACAACTCACCAAGTGCTGACGTTGACCCTGGACTGCATGAGGAGATCCCTCAGCAGGATCAATGCATGCAAAGCCCCAGGCCCAGACAATATACCAGGTCATGAACTGAGAGACTGTGCAGCTGAACTCACAGATGTGTCACAGACAACTTCAACACCTCACTAAGTCAGGCTGTCGTCCCCACGTGCTTCAAAGCCACCGCCATCATCCCAGTCCCACAGAAGTCATCTCCCTCCTGCTTCAATGACTACTATCTGGTAGCGCTGCTCACTCTCATCCTGATGCAAGGGAGAAGGTGAGCAGCACTAAATTCCAACAACATCTCATCACTGGCCAAGAAAGTTCACCAGCGTCTCTACACCCCCGACAAGCTGAGTCCCGACCCCCATCATGTGCTTGTTCTACAAAGAAACCATAGAGAGCATCCAGACCAGCTGCATCACTGTGTGGTACGGGGCCTACACCACACGCTGCCTCAAGACCCTCCATCGCACAGTGAGGGCAGCTGAGAAGATCATAGGAACTTCTCTACCCTGCCTGCAGGACTATTACCACACCTGCCTCACCTACAAAACCCTTTGTAATGCAGGGGATGCCACCCACCCATCTCACAGCCTCTTCAGTTTGCTGCCATCAGGGAGGAGACTGCAGAGTTTGCAGGTCAGGACTAGCCAAATAAGGGGCAGTGTCATTCACCAGGCTGTCAGGAAGCTGAACTCTTTGCCTGCTCTGCCTCCTCTACACACAAACTCTGGACTCCAATATTTTTACATTTGACTTATATTCTTATATTATTTATTTTTACACTGAATGTTTACTATTTCATACTTAATGTTCACTGTAGCAACGTGGGCCTTTGGAAAACCGAATTTCAATCCTCTGTATGTGTTACACATATTGCAGAATTGACACTAAAGCTACCTTAAACCTTGAACCTTCAGCATATTTCATAGTTCTGGGTCTCAACTGCAGTCATGCATATTTATGCTGGTCTCGTCTGGGCAGAGGGGGCTTTTATGCAGCGCTGTAACGAGGAGGAGCTGTAGTTCAAAAATAAAAGTCTTCACAATGCATAAGCACCCTTTGCAGTCCATGCACTGTAACTCTCCGTCTCTGCCTCTCCAGCCTTCACGAAGAAGCCCGGCATTGGCTCAAGTAGAGAGTAGCTAAATAATTAAGCACTACGCACCACTCCTGCTGTTAATCACACACACAATCTCTTTTTCTATCCTACTCATTCTCTCACTCTCTCTCTCTTACACAGACACACACACACACGTACAGTATATGAGGTCAGTGGCTTGGCTGTAGATACACAGAGTTGTAGACTCTTCTGTAAACAGCTTACAGACCAGATCAAGAAAGACAAACAACAAAGAAGGAGTAGATAAAGAAGTAGGTGAGACAGAAAGCAAAAAAAAAAAAAAAAAGTGTTGTGGTGTCTTTCCGCTGTTTTGCTTGTTAACTTAAGACAATGCACTCTACACTAATGGGCCATATATAATGAAGGAGATTTACAACACAGCACAAAGGAGTGAGTGAAACACACAAACACATACATATTAGTGTGAACACCCACAGGAGGACGTTTCTTTTCTGTCTCTAATTTATCTAGCCGGTGTTTGCTTGTGTGCATTCAGCCCCAAAAGGAGATCTGTCAGTCCTGGATGCCAATCATACTGGCAGTAATGATGCACTGCCTTCCTCATGTTCTGCACCCACAAACGCTGACAGACAACAAAACTGAGAAATAACTGAAACAATACCTGTGAAGAAAAGCATGAAGGTCAGTAAAGGGGAAGAAAACATCAACCAGGTCAGTTCTAAAGGGACTATAACAGTGATCTCAATATGCATCTTTAAAAGCTACCAGTGAGGGATCTTAAAATAGCCCAAGAGTTTGTCCTGCATATAAAGCTACATGATGACCACCTCTGCCTGATTTCTAAATTCCTGGTTGTCCCTCGTCAGTTTGACTGGTGCTCTCAGGAATAACTCTGCACTCAAAGCATCCATTTGGTGAATTTGTCATTTTGTCAGTGAGTTATTAAAATGCTCAGTTATGCATATATAGTCCTATTGAAGAAAGATGCACATTGATAAATAAGGATAAGCCGGGTAAAGCTCGCCACTGCCACAAAAGAGAGAAATAGTGGTAAGAGTTCATAATGATAGACTGCATTCAGGTCGTATGAAAACAGCTTGACATAATAATAATACTAATGTGGATCAACCTGGCTTCACTCTCATAAGGTCAGACAGAGATACTAAAGCTGGTGGTAAAAGTTAAATGTGTCAGAACTTTTTACTGTGGACTCATTTGATATGTGTTATCTGGTTGTCTCTTCTGTACAAAGTCAATAACTGTTGTCAAGGGGTTTTGACCAATCAGAATCAAGTATCCAGTGTAATACAATACAATAAAAGGCGAGACCTTTATTAATCCCGAAAGGGAAATTGGTTTGTCTGGAATCTCATTTCATCTATTATTTATATTAGAGTTAAGGAGTCTGATGGCTGTTGGTACAAAAAATCCTCTGAATCTGCCTCTTCTGCAGTGATGAGAGAGAAGCCGTCCACCACAATTATTTGTTTTTTTCGTTTTGTCCATCAAAGTGTTATGAAGCGGATGATCCATGTTTTTTGAATGATCTCTACCTTCCTCAGTGTACATCTCTCTAGCACATCCTCCAGTGAGTCCAACTTGATTCCAACCACAAAGCCAGCTTTTTTCACCAGTTTGTCACCAGTTTGAATCTGTATTTTAGCGATTGTTTCATGGAGAACATCACATGGAACTTCAGCCGTTGCCTTGGGTGGGATGTATACAAGTATTGCTATGATATGACTGAACTCCCTTGGAACATAATATGGCTAAAGAGCAACTGCCAACAGCTTATTTAGGTGATTAGTGAGCAAGCTACTTAATGGAAATAAAAGTGAGTTTGTCTTGAATCAAAGTCCATCTCAGTTGAGGGAAATACACCTACTGTTTTCCTCATGTTCAGGACTGTATTTTGACAAAATAATGCCTGTAAAGTACAAAGTAGTTAAAAACTCGCCTAAGGTGCAGTTTATGTGCAGAGCTATTTAAATACCTTATGTTAGACCTTCAAGTGACTCCCACACATCAGCGTGATGACTCCCCACTTTACCTGACTCACACTCAAACATGCACCATACATAAGCACTCCAAACAGCCTAGGACCATTAAAACATTTATTTTCTACCCCACTGAGCACAGGGGGCACTAAAATGAATCACGTTTAAGGTGTGTGTGTGTGTGTCTGTATGAGTTTAAGCGTGTGTGCTTGTGTTTGTGTATAAGACACATATAAGAAGACACACAAGCCAGGTAAAAGAAATGTGATGATATTCAACCTGTGGAAGAGAAAGGAACTAAAAAAGGAAACTAATTTGGAGGAAGGATATGAGCAAAGCGAGGAGGACAGAAAGTAAGAGAGAGGAAGAGGAAGGCAGACTGACTCATGCTCCGATTGCCACACAGTTAGAGTTTATTGAGAATATGACAGATGATGGTTAGTGTATTGGCCAGTCAGTTATTTGATCAAACAGTCACACTCTGCCAGCCAGTGAGTCAGCCCCAAACACTGTCAAACAAACAACCAGCCCCTAAGCCAGTTGGCTTGATTATACTTATTTAGCTCAAAAATCAGCTAAATAGAAAATCTGGGGCATCATTCTGTCCCTCAAAGAATGAAAATTAAATTTAGCAAACAGACAGCAGGGTAGTTTGTTACTCTTTCACTTAGCATGATACATTTCAACCACCACATTACATACGCCTTGACATGTGACTGGCAATTAGATACAAGGAAGAAGTGGGAGGTTTATTTTGACAGATACAATGCAATGTGATTCAACGACGAGAAAGCGACGCGCTGAGACTTTTTCACTCAACATTTCAAAGTGTATGAAAAGAGTCCATGTATTGTTTTGAGGAGTATGGTTGGCCTGGTGTCTTTTAAGTTTTGATATAAATGTTGAACTTATGAGTACAAATGTTGGTGGTGCCTGAGACTCTTACTAGCCTGCTGTTGGTGTGGGCTTGGCGTTTGATGCTAGTACCATACCACCTTCATGGGTGAGTGGGAAGATTGGTCTTGTTGCCAGAGTATCCAACTTCACCTCTGCATACTCTGCAAACTGTGGGATTTTCCTACATGCCAGAGTTGTATTTCTTATTTCTTCTGTCAGTGTTAGGGAACTGGTGGGGTTTTATTGATACCTATTTAATCCTATTAACAATTCTTCTTACTGATCCGATTCTTTGGTGGTTCCCTTATCAATTCCTGTGGACTTCCTGTGTGGAATTTTTTTTTTTTGTGTGTGTGTCTGTGGCTTCTGATGAAATTTTTATGGGTCAGTTGATCACAGAAACAGCTTCTGATTAGTCCACACCAGAACAAGGATCCACCTCCTGTCTTGCAAAGTATGAAAAACTAAAACTAATACTACAAACTAATAAAAACTAAAACTAATCATTTAGAAAAAAATGAAAACTAATAAAATCGAAAAAAAAAAAAAGTTAAAACCAACTAAATAAAAAAAAAAAGGTCCAAACAAAATAGAACTAAACTATAATGAAAAATCCCAAACTATTATAACGTTGGTATTAAACGTTCTGTACTGTATACAGTTCAAGTCTTCACCCACTGGTGTTTCCTTCACAGACTGTTGAACAGTTATTGGAGAGACGCATCGAAAGAAGCATCTACACAAAGGTGAAACACAGATTCATGTACTCTGGGACCCGGTTTTATAAAGTATTGTATACAGTCACCTGAAACGCTGTTTTCGTATGGATGAAACACTGATATGACAAAATAACTTTTGTGTTTCCTTCTGAATTCTTTTATATGTGGACGGGGCCTAATGGGCAGCCATCCGCATGCAATTGTTAAGCAAAGATGGCTCAAACTGTTCCGAACAAGTTCTTATCTGGGACGGGTACTTACTTTTTACCCTTTGAGTTTAAGCCTGATTACCATTTAAAAAGGGCAGCAAGAGTTTGTCTTCCATTAGCATAAAATGACAATTTTTTCTGGGGTATTTTTAAGCAGTGAAAAAAAATAAAAGGATCTCCTAAACGGTATCAGGAAAAAAAAAGACTCATTTGGTCAGTTCGCTTCTTGGAATCCCAGGTTGTTTTGAATTAAAACAGTTTAAACTGCGTGTTCAGCACTTTGCAGAGACTTTGCTGTTGCTGTAACAACTTTCACCGCCTGTATTAAAAGACATTTATCATTGAGGAAATACAATGATTTGTCTTTTAGTCCTTTTCTTTAAGAGCCACCTGTGAAGTTTGACACAAAGACTGCTGAGCCTACTGGTTCAGGTGTCCTCAGTGGCGGCACTCTCCACACAAATGAAGACATTATTTCAAACCTCCACAAACAACAGGGGATGTTTGTAAAAATAAAGCTGCGACATCACATGAGAAGAACTCCTCATTTGCTGTACAGGTAACTTTGCTGTACAGTAGCATTACAGTGACTCCCCCCCTTGAGGTGCCTTGTACACAGCATGGGGGAGAGCTGGGTTTGATTTACAATCAGCCCTCATGAAAAGCTGACAGTGTTTAGTTCAGTCCACAACCCGCAGTCTGAACGCTCTAAACACGAGCCTTTTGTCAGTGAAAGGGCCTCAGCTTTGGCCATCAGGCTCCTATACACCTTCTTCCAACACTTCCATTGAAAGGAGGATTACTGGAAATTGGCTTCATATAACAAGGAACAAAGACTCATCCCTTTCCCACTCAGTCCCTCTGCCTTGGTCACACACATACAAAAACGCACACGCACACACACATACACCCACACACAAAGAAGTCTTTTGTGAAAACCAACAATATCTTGCAAGTCACTTTCTGCTAATCACAGTGGCCTTATGATGACTTGAAGACTTTTGGGTTCGGTTGAAGCAAAAATAATTAAAATGTGCGCACACACACACACATATCATGAAGACAGAACGAGTGAGGAGAAAAGGATGAGTAACATTACCAAGAAGTTGACTGTTTTTGTACCATCTTCATTAAAAGACCTTTTTGGAGTGGGGTCAGACGGAAATTATAAAATAAAAGTGACTGAAAGGTTAAAAAAGAAGAAGAGAAGAGAAACACTGTATACTGGTAGAGGGAAAAATAACTGATGGCAGTAAACAGGATAAGCAGAAGCTGAAGCAGAAGGTAAATGGAGTAGAAAGATTAGGACATAAAGATGACAGACAGCATTGGTGGAGACTGACAAGTGAGCAGAAATACAGAATGATCAAAATTGGAAACACAGACATGACTTCTGCTTCAATTCCTTTATCTGCCAGCAGACCACACGCACTGTAAACATCAGAAGCAGTTAGTGAAATCCAGTGACTAATGGAAAGATGTTAACGCACTGACTCACAAACACGATCAGTGTGATGGCATAGGTGTTATTTCCCTTCATCAAGCAAATGTACCTTCATAGTTCGAGCTCCACATTTGTCAGCCCATCATCTGTGATTTCCAGAAACACCGTGACTTGTCAGTGGAGGTGAAGGGGATTTGTCAGCTTATCTACCTAATAAGAATTATTCAAAATAAATGCATTCCCCCTCCCTTTTGTTCACATGCCCCTCTCTCTGTCATCCTCTGCTGGTTTTGTTGAAGTTTATATCTTCCCTTCATTTCTGCCTGCTGTTGTGCCTCGCCATGTGATGCTTAAAGAATATCTAAAGATACGTCCGCCTCTCTGTTCAGCTTACAGATTACAGCTTCTCTCTAAACCTTGCAGGCAGTGACATTTTAAATCTTCTGTCATTCCCTATCCTTAAGGTGCCTGTCTGAAGCTTTTGTGTATGTTGTTTTGGGGTGTCTGCAGGTTTAATCAAGTCAACTTTAAAACTTTTACAGACGGTTTAAATGCCAGTACGCTGGAGGTTGGAGACTCATCTTTAAAGCTTTCTTATCTGCACTACAGGAAAAATTAAGGCATGCTATGGGTCCAGATGGCTATATTGAGTTCTTGCTGGGATAGACTTACAGGGATGTGATAGTACACTTCGCTCACCAGACAAGGAGATGTTCGATTTGTGGTTATTTTAAGAAAACTTCAATAATGAAATACATGAATGTTTCATGAAACAGCTCCTATGTTCGGTATTGATCTCCCGAGACAGCTTATCTTGTCACGCAACAAGTATTGTGTAATCTTGATGCACAAGATCTTGTCTCATCCCAAGAGGTAACAGTTAATCAATCCAGACCCACACTAACTTAGGACTCAAAGAAACCAGCAGAAAAAAAAAGAAAAGAAAAAAAAAAAACAGGGAAAAAATGTTTCTTTTTTCTAGCCTGATAAAGTTAGTATACTTCCACTAGCAGGAAACTGTCTGGAGAATCACGGTCAAGTCCCTATTTCTATTCTTTCACATGAGCTTTGGTGAGGTCAGGGCTGGATTTGCCATGGGAAGCACACTTGAGCTTTTATTTTGAAAGCAGAATTGATGCGCCTAGAATAACTGAGCACCGTGGTGTGTTTAATCCAATCAGGTAAAAGCTTGTACTCCGAGTGTAAGATTGACAGATGGACAGAGGAAGAGGTTCAACAAAGAGGCAGAGTGGAGCAGAGAGGGTAAGAGAGACCAAGAGCGAAACATCGCCAAGTGAGTTTGTGACAAACTTAAGAGAAACTCTTTTGAGAACTCACAGTCAAGTTATGTAAACTTTTTTGAATGTTTCATATTGTGTTGCCCTACACCACCTCTGCCAAGAAAAATGTGATATGAAAAGATCTGTAAAGCTGGAAATGTTGACATAGTTGCATGATACAATTAATTGTTAAAGAAATATGTTAGCAATACTTTGTTGTTGCAACCCTAATCTTAATAATGCACTATTTGATGTGGTTAAATTGCATTCACACCTCAAAAGACTGTCATTTGCAGGGATGCACAATATTATCTGCGCAATAAAAAGCTTGACTAGTAATAATCATGCGCACATGACCATGAAAGCCAGCATTAAGCGTCAACATGTCAATTGTGTAGAAGTGTTGTAAACATGCAGCAAACTATTATAATATGAATATCAGGTAAAACTTGCAGATTTTTTACTGAGTTGATTTATTATATCAGTTCCAGACGAAACGAATTTGTAAAAAAAAATCTGCATTGAAGATATTAGTGAATATCCAAGTAATATGAAGCATCACCAAAAGGTTGCTTTTTATTCTTTTCAGTCACAGTGTGGAAGCAGAATGCAGAGGCTAACCATGTTTATTTACTCACTTTGACCTCCACTCACCTCTTCTTCCTCCTCTATTTTTCTTTTTCCTGTCCTTGCAGATATCATTTCTCTGGGGAAGCAGGAAGCGCCAATTGGGTTTATGGGGCATCTGCGCGATTTGATTTCGTTATAAAGGCATTCCAATAAAAACTAGGGCTGGACACACAGGAGGCAAAGGGCCAGCCTTACTGTAAGAACAATGGGGAGTGTACGTGGGCACTAAGGGAGCACATGGTCACTGTACCGCTCCCTGCAATAATGGCAAGGGATAGAGGGATGGAGGAAAGGAGAAAAGTAAATGAAAAATATGTGAGGAAGACGGATGAGGAAAGATAACAGAGACAAGCGAAAATTGCCAGGGCCAGTAAAAATAGAAGGAGAAATGTAATAAAGACACAAAAAGAAGAAACAGCACTTTTAAGTGATACCCTAAAACCAGGAGTACAAGCCACAGCAGTATCTCAGATGCATGTTGTTGTTTTTGAGGGTCTCCCAGAGGGAAATAAAAAAGTGTGACTATTGCCACAGTGTTTGTTGAAAGCCACAATGTTCACGCTCTGTGCAGCTGTGTAGCTCTGTAAGGCAATAATTCAGTTTCCTCATTTCATGTAAAGCTAATGATAACACTCAGTGCGTTTACATGCACAGCTTAATCGGACTAAGCTCAAAACTTGTTTTTCACCAAATCAGACTTCTCTTCTTGCCCGCATGCAGCTGAAAAAAATCAAATTATTGATGTGAAAATGTCCTCCTCCCCAAATCTAGGGGGCGATATTGGTCTTTTCAGTGGCGCTGTTTCCGGTTGAACCAACAACAACAGCAGGTCCGTGCCACATGTCAGAAGTGGCTACAACTGCTTCTGGGCATTTTCAAGCAAGAAGATGGAGCATCATACAGTTTTGTTTCTGTCGTACATGATGTACGCGCTACTTTTTCTGCAGATGTGGTACACCCTACTCCTCTTCTCTGGTGTTTTTGTTCCGGGGTTAAGGGGGGGCGCGGCGCACACATGCATACATTGTCCTATCATACTCCGACTACACTGGTTACATGATAGAGAAAATCGAATTCCAATCGCATTATCTGGGTGTCTTAATCCGAGTTCTCCAACTCCAATCGGAGTTGGAGAACTCCGATTGGAGTCGGACTAAGGTTTTTACATACACTTCAGTTGTCCGGTCTCGATCGGAGTAAGGCAATAATTCAGTTTCCTCATTTCATGTAAACATACTGGTCCTTATTTATCAAGCTTGCGTACGGCAGAAAACTTGCGTTCACCTTGCGTACGAAAATTTTGACGTGAGGATCAGCATTTATCAGTCTGCACATGAGCGTACGCTACGACCAAATCTCACGACAGGTCTGACATCGTGTACGCAAAAAAAAAGCTTTTTTTTCACTTTGTTTCCTTTTATTCCCTTTTTCTTTTTTTATTTGACAGAATAAACTAATATTATTTATTAAACGGATAGTAAGGACAGCCCCGTTTACACTGTTTCTTAATGCTGTTGATAGAGGAGGCAAGTCCACTTAAATACACTTCACTTAGTCCAATGCCTCAGTTATGTCGGATGCCCAGGGTTTAGCTTGGAAACAACAGCTAGACCAGGTACATTTCTGTAATGGCTGGAAAACAAATAAACAAAATTATTCTTCTACTTTTTCTTTGTTGTGGCCAAAAGCATGTTATAAAAGAGGCACATTATTATCAGGCGAAATACAAGGCAAAACAAATCTGTGTGTAAATTAGTTTCCTGAAGGATTTACATGCATTGGGGAATAAGGGGTGTCAGCTTAGAGCAGTAAACATTAGGTGAAAATTTAATAGAAAAAGTGCAGCAAAGGATTTGAAAAAGTAATTCAAAATTCCTCTAGGGGCCAGGCAGACGAGAAGACGAGAATACTCTCTCTTTAGAGCAACATCTGTGATCACCGAATACTGTATCAGGTCACCAAAAACTAAATCAGGGCCATACTATTTGTTGTATTATTTTGACAGGCTCAAAATCAACACACCATGAGAAAGTATTTAGCAACAATATCAAGTGAACACTTCCTTCAAAGAGGCAGAAAAGAACTAGTCTTTCTCTGTGAAACATCTTTCTCTGTGAAACATGTCAAGGTTAAAGAACAGTTTTTGTTTACTTTTTAATTTAATAATAAGTGAAAACTACTAATCCCACTCATAAAAGGAATTAACAGTATTGGAAATTATGTATGTTCTGCCTGAACTTAAAATGAGGCTTAAAGAAAACTTTAAACGGGAGGGCATAAATGGCGCCCTAGAGATGTCTCAAGCTGAAGATGTTTCAAGGAACACAAAGTAGACACAAGTTCCCCTTCTACTTCTTTCATTATTTCTACCTGTGTATTTTTAAGTTGTTGTTTTTTTTCTATTTCTTTTCTCAATACTAATGTGCACAACAGCACACTTCTGATTGTAAAGTTACTAGAATAATCTGGACCTGGTTTCAGGCAGGATCTTCGGTGAGGTAGCTCTTAGTGTGCTTAAAGATCAGAGGATGAAATAATTTATCTACTTGAAGTTTTCTGTATTGTTAGTACTTGTAACGGCTTATTTAAATATGAATGTGTGCACAATGGTGAAAAAGCTGGAGTACCATCACTGCAGGGCGCACCATAGCAAGTCACAGACAATCATGTATTAGTTCTTTACATTAAGATTATCAGTAACTAGGGGCAGTCTACATCTACACCAAAGACTATCTCCATTTCAATTATGAAGGGGTTCTGTCGGAGGGCGATATTGGGTGTACAAATCTATAGGTTCAGATGATAATCCGTGGACAACAGTTCAGTCGTGCCGATGCAGTGAAAAGGAAGTTTTATTGGTTTAATTTTATATTGCCCGCATACAAACTACATACATTAATTATTTAGGCTGCTCCTCCAAAGCCCTACAGCATGTTTCAATCGGCAACAGTAATACAGCAAACCCTGATAAAATGTGTGCGTGGTGTTTTTATCTGCTACTATCTATTCAGCTTCAAAAAACATCAATGGGATTAAAAGATTCATGCAAAGGGAAAGTACAGTTTCATTCATCTCACAAGAGGTTTTGGTAGCAAGGGTCAGCAGTGGATCATCCCATGCTTTAATGATCACACACTTAAGTGGAAAAAATATTTTTAAAAAGGAATAGTTTGAAGTTCAACTATTTGTTACTTGATCTAACCGCGTTCCAGTGGAGAAAAAAAAAGAAGTTTTCAAGGACTGCAGTCAAAAGATAATAGTGGATAGAGTATTTGTGAAGGTTTGTGTTTGAAGATGAGGGAGGCTTGAAGACACAAGAGCTGGGACACTGTGCAGGTTACTATGCAAAACTGTGCTATACAAAACCAGATACACCGTTCTCTGCTCTGACAAATCAAAATTTGACTTATTTATTTATTTTTTGCCAAACTACATTTTACAGATGTTACAGTAAGATGGCTCTGCAGTAGAAGAGTCTGGGTGTTAAACTGGTCCGCCTGCAGTGCAGACTTCTCAGCCCCACCTGAGTTGTAGTTCTATGTGCCTCAATCTTACACTCTCCCACTCCTGATTCATGGAGAATCATTCTTTAGGATACAATTCTGATGACAAATGTATTACAAGAATCAAGGCAGAAAGTCTTAGAAACACCTGACAGTTGCCATGAGTCTATTGTAAAATAACAGTCAAACTATGACTGTGCGCAGCAACTCTCATTTGAGGCTGATAGGAAAAAGACTGCGAATTAGCTGTGACTCAGAGTACCCCAGCCGAGTTTCCAATTACACTAATAATGAGTGAAACCTTTGAATAAAGGTTGGTCATCAATGGCTCTAAACAGCCATGGTTTACAGATAAACCACAATTTGAAAAATTAATAGTTTTAAATAGGGGTGGGAATCACTAGTGGCCCCAGGATATGATATTGTCACGATACTTGGGCCACGATACAATATTATTGCAATTTTTTAACATCATGCAATACAGTGAGTATTGCGATACAATATATTGTGATTCATACAATTTTTTCAGCTGTTTAGCTAATTTATCATTTCGCTTTCCTTTATGTTTGTCTTATTTATGCTGTATTTTATTTTCATGCAGCACATCTTGCAAACCTTATATATTTATTCGTTGTACTAACTTTCTTCTCCTCTATGATCTCACCTCTGCAAACCTCACTGGACAAACAGTTGATTTTATTTTTCCATTATCATAGATTTGACTTCATACTAGCAATTAATTTGAAAAATCGATACTTGGTAAATGAGACGATACGATATATCTCCAGACAAAATATCACAATACTATGCTGTATCAATTTTTAAAACCACTGATGTTTCCCATCATGCATGTTATGTTGTATCCTCTGTCAGCCTTTTGTTTTCGCCTAGTGACTTTGCATGTCACAAGAAACCAGTGAGGTGATGGGCCTCTCCGCCTCTCAGCTGGCCTTGACTGTTTTTCTAAATCTTTTTTTTTATATAAAGCATAGTTTCTCCTGAAAACTAAAGGAGAATGAGCCACAGTCCTTATGCAACCCCCAATATATGACATACTTTCCAAATCCATTTACCAATAAGATATAACTCAATAAAGATATGTGATACTTGAGGGAGTCGAAACTTGAGAGATGACAGAGAATTTGTAATTTCTCTCTCAAGGGATGAACAAAATATGAATACTGAAGCAATTTATAGCACACTGAAAGGCTAAACTTATTTCAACCCAGTATTCTCTGTCCAATTATGATCGAGTAGCCGCTTAACTCCATCAAAAACCACATATAACAAGGTAAGTTTTCCCTCAGAGGTTCAGGTAGACTTCTGTCATTATATTAATTTCAGTCTTTTCATGCTTTACAAGCTTCTCACCAGCCTTCTTACCATCTTCTCACCAGTTTTATATTCATGAAATCCAAAATTGAATTTTTCAAGGCTTTTTCATATGATTTTGATTGTTTTGGTTTATGGCTTACAGCAGTTTCTTAAATTATCAGCATATTTCCTAAGATCATTAAACAGGGCTTTAAAAATACAGAAATGTGGACCAACTTCTGACAGCATGTTGATTTTTAGACTCTGCACTTAGTTACTGCTTTAGGAATGGCAGCGATCAGCCTTCAGCTCGTAATTAAAAACCTCACACTGGACTTCTAACACCTTGGACTCCTCTCCCACTGTGGGACCTTAATTTTTCAATGAAATGCAAAATTTACTTTCATCTAAAATGAGTATTTTGGACCACTGAGCAACACTTTTGAGCTAGGTCATGGTTTTCAAAATTTAAATAGAAAAATTAAACATTTAAATTTAGATGTAATAAGTCTAGAATATATTTAATTTTCACTTTCCCCCAGTCTTCATATTCGCTGCAATGCGCCTGTGAGAGTGTATGAGAAGGTATTGAGATAATGAACACACACCCTTCGTTGAACAAGCATTTGCACTCCAGCCCTTTTACAGCCCCTGATCACAACTGCTTCTGAGAGGCTATTTCACAGGTCTCTAAATCCAGAAAGTTTTTATATAGAAGAACCCTGCCTTATCAGAAATATACATTATACAAAGAAGCCAACACTTTCCAATCCTCTGCCTTCTTAGCTTCAATAAATCCTTCCCCTAACTGCTGAGTTTCAGCCAATGAAAAATGAAAGTCCAAAAGAGTCCATGTTGTCCACAGTCGTGTCTCGTTCTAATGTATTGACCTGAGTTCACTCTGCTGCCTGCAGTGCTGTAACAAAATACAGACTTTCAGCTGAGAGGAGACCAAAAGATACAAAAGGTGGTAACTACTGGCTTCTGTTTAAAGCACAAGGCACAGAAAACGTGGAAGTGAGGGGTTTGGACTCATGAAAGGTCATGAAGTTGTGAGCCTGTCTGTCTGCCGAGTCTGTTACCTTCTTCTTTTCCACTTCCCAGGTGTGCTGCGCGTAACTTGTGTGTGACCTTTGGCTCCGATCCCTTAATTTACTCCCCACCCCCCAACCCCTCTCTCTCTCTGCCTCTGTCTTTTAACTTCACACACCTGTCTAGCATACAGACTGCGCCAATCAGCCTGCAGTGATCCTACTTAATGGCCAAAGTCAAGGCTAAGCACACAATGCATGTAAAAGATATAAGAAATGCAGGTGTAATTGGCCTAGTATGCCACCTAATTAGCCTTTAGAAGCCAACACTAGTATTGGTGCCTGAGAACAGGGGAGCTTAATTCACTCCTCATTAGCCTTATAAGCCCTTCAAAATTGTTATTCACCTCTGTGTGGGTGAGCATTCAGTCTCATTAGACCTATTAGGAAAGAAAGAAAAGCAGCTGTTGATTCCCCTTATGAGAAATATATATTCAAAAATACCTAGAAAATGAGAACAAGCATATCTGACCTTATTGTGCAAAAAAAGAAACACTAACTACCTTCATGCCATGTGAATGTAAAGCTGAAACAGTCTCACCATTGGTTATCTCATTATGAATCGTAGGAGGTGGGCAGGGGCAATTGCCATGTACAGAATCAAGATAAAGTAGAGATGATGAAGTGTGAAAAATCACATTGAGCTTAAAAGCAAAAAGTCCCACTTGTATGATGCAGTTAGTTTTGGGGGGCTGCAAGGGAAAAATGAATTCAACTGTCTTCCTAGTTTCCCACCGCATTCAGCAAGGTCAATAATATAAAGTTTATGTGTCGCTGCGAAGCCCTCCTAGCACCACTAGTTTCCGAAACCAAAAAACAAAAATGAGGAAACCAAGGCCGAAAACCAAAACATCGAAAGAAATTATTATGCCAGTTATTAGCACCATTGCATTTATGGCTATGACTGTGTAGTATTCTCACTAAATTCAAGGCATTGCAATTGTATAAATTAATATTAATTTGTGTCAAATATTAAATGAGTTTTTGAGTCAGTGTGTTGCTGCATGTTGTGTGTTGTTTATACCTTTAGATGGCGCCCATGAGTTAGGGGCAAAACCAACTCAAAAGTGAAATAAGTGTAATAAGTGAAAAAAGAAGTGTTGTGAGCGGTACAGACGCATCAGTGTGTTTTTTGAAAGTGGGAGCTGAGCATGAGTTTGCATTGCAATTTTGATTTCTGGTAAAGTTATAAATAAAAGTGAGAAGAAGTTAAACTTCCCCAGCGTCGCAGGTGTATTCAGCCACAACATCCGTCACAGATGGAGTGGGCATGTTTAGAGTGTGCCACGTTCTTCTTATATTGAGAATGGCGATCGGGATGTTTAGATTTCAGTGTGAAGAAACTCTTTGTAAATGTACCCTCTCTTTAAATTTTAGCGTGACATGCTACTCTAATCACTATCCATGATTCTCAGATATATAGATATTGAAATCCATCCACACCGCAGACATGTTGGCCTTTACCCAGACAAAGGTGTGCTGGCTGCGGTTTCGCTTGCATCATCATGACGTCTGTTTTGGCCGTGTTGTTTCAGTGATAAAAGTCTTTTGGTCAAAACAACAAAAATGCACTTTCGGCTCATTTTTCGGCTGAAAATTCTTGGTGGCCGGATTTTTGGTGCATCCCTAATTGCAATTATTGTGTTACTTATTATTGCACAATTATTAATGATATTATGGGTCTACTTGCTTGGCTATAATGGAACTTCCTGAGACTATTTATTGTTTTCTCAATTTATTATTTTCAGATATTAATCAATGTGTTTTACTGTGGTGTCATTTGGCTTTGGCGACCTTTAGCTGTCTCTCTCTGGAATGAAAAATACAAAAAAAAGCAAAGTGTTTTTATTAGTACCTGCACAGTTAGTTGTCCATGTCCAAAGCTTTGACTAGAACAAAGCACTGAATTTGTCTGATGACTCACAGCTGAGCTTTTCTCTCCCCCACAGAAAGAGTATTACTGATTTTAATATGCAAGAAAAAAACTGATTACGCACACAGTTGGCTTAACAACAGAAATCTATCTTTGGTTTACATGCCACCAAAAGTGTTCAAAAAGTATTCGATTTTAAGTTGGCGAGCATGAAGTTTAAGTGAGGGAGCTGGACTCTCAGCTCAGCAAGGGGTTGCTTTATCACGCAACGTAATAGGAACTTTGATGCAGGTCCAACAGTTCTGACTGCGTTCATAAAAATTTACTTTATTTGCTTGTGTTTGTAGCATTGTGTGTTCTTTACATTTTTTTCCAAGATTTTCCAAAAATTGGCTATTTCAGCAAAGAAATAGTCAGTCACCTTTGTAATAGAATACATGATACATTGCCAAATTCTTGCCAATACACAGCCCTGGCAAACACGTTTACTACTCTGCATGTGCTCATAAATCCATCAGGTCGGAGCTGTGATTGTTGTCAGCTAACAAGATTCAATTTAATGCTGATGTTGGATCAGATCAGTGTCGATATCTGCAGACACCAAAGCCCAGGTACTGTTAGCAGTACTGGAATGTAAAAGTTGGATCATTGCATCCCTACTGACTACAGTAGAAGATCACAAGGCCTGTGGTTTCTTAATTAGTTGGACCTCTCTGAGCTGGCACACCAGCAACAGAGCTCATTTCAGGCTGAGCTGACAATAAAGTCACCAGAGAGAAGCTGCATTCTATCCAGAACCATTCTTGTTTTATTGCTGTGAAAAAGTGCATACATTAAAACTTCACCTCTGTCCAAGTACCCTGACTGCAGTCTTATGAGCTGTGATAGCAGTAACGTCACTGCTCTTAGCCCTCCAAGCTACAGCTGTCTTATCGCCAACTGCAAAGTGGTGTCAGCCTCACATGAGAGCTGATGAGCTAGCTGTGCTGATCATGCTGTGCTCCAAGCTCGGCTGGTGGGACTAATGGACCGGTCAATAATGTGAACAGTGGGATTGGGGTGGACCACCAGTTGCTTGGTTAAAACATGGGTTGTGAAAATGATCACAAATCAAGCTCCTCATCAAAGACGTGTCTTTGAGGGGTCTCTGTTACTCTCCTTGTTAATTTGTATATTAGAAAAGATTTCAGCTCGGAGTTTGTCGATGGTACGAGACGAACAAGCTTCAATTTCAGTGTCTTTTGTCCTGTGTTTATGAAACAACACATCCAGCTGTTGAATTGCTGCTGTACTTGCACTATAAATAGGGTCCTCTTGCAGAATAGACATACGTAGTTCTATTTGTAGATGATTGCAGGATGGACAGGCAGTACTGAAAAACAACTTTTAGACCTGAACCCTGATACTCTTCCTGACCGGAGTAATAAAAATACATGAGTGTGTGTGCCGGTGATGTAAAGGGGTTTACAGTTAAAGCAAAGCTACTTATTCAATCTTCGACTCCTGTTATTTTCTAGACAATTTCAGGAAATTTAGGTCCCATTAGACATGCTTTGATGTAAAGAGCATGTAAAGACTAAGCATTCATGTGTTACATGTATAAAATATACATTTTCAAGATGTTTTGAACATTTCTGGATAGTCTCTATCAGAGTCTGTGTCAGTCCACTGCTTTAAGTGGCTGTGCAGTAAGAGAGGTTAAACCAGATAAGACAGGACAGAGGTAAAGACAGAAAGTAGAGGAGGAACTGAAACTGTAAGAGAGAAAGAGTCAGACCTGGTCTGACACAAAATGGCATTTAACATTTATCCTGACTGCAGCTTTATGCTAAACTGCTTCAGTCCACGATGTTATATTACCTTATTGCTCTGCCTGTGTGTGTGTGTGCTGTCAAGTGTGAGTGTCTTTGTGTGTTAATATCTTACTTTGGGGGCATAAATAATCTGTCAGGTAGACAGACAGGCAAGCTTCTCCAGAGTCGTAATGTTAATAAATCTCAATGCAACTGAGAAGAGGAGGGAAACTTTTTCTTTAAGGACTTTCTTCCTTGTCGGCCGACAAAGCTTAGAGGTTACAGATGCAAAGAAACACTGTCCGCCTCCAAGATAAACTCAAGGATAAAATAGTGTGTGATGTAGTGAAGACTAAGAAAATGAAGCAAAGAAGAAGAATGAGACAGAGCAAGTGGTTATCTAAGAGTCTCTGATCAAATAAATACTTATGCAGCCATTTTAGGTTTAAACTGACTTGATGTGTGTTTGTGTGTCTATGTCTGATTGAGGGGCAGAGTTTAAAATATATTATCAGCCAAAATATCCTTTGGGAAAACTGCTTAATAGAAATTAGCATTAGGTCTGAATAAAAGATGTAATTCTCACATATTATACATTAGATTTGAGCAACATGGCAGCAGTGAGAAAACAAAGGGACCTGAATTGCTGTACGAGTGTCAAGTTTGGTCCAAACTTTAACAATCTTTTTGTTTTTTTTTCTCCTTCTGTTGACCTTAACAGAACTATAGCGAACACGGCTTTAGTTTCCCTTTAATCCCAGAAAGACTGTAAAAAAACATGATGCCTGTGCTGGTGTGGGAAGAGGGTTAACGGTCAGCTGGGGTGTAGTATGTGACTCCACAGCACACAAGCATGGCATTGATAAGGCATTAAAGTCTGACACGAGATGATCGGGATGAACTGTACAGAGAAATTTACAGCACACTGAGTCACAAGAGGGACAGAGAGGACTCTGCTTTTATTGCCGACTTTATGGATGGAAATAAATGTGGAAACAACAGTGAAATTAAACGTCTTTCAACTTATAAACAGAGACAGTTATGATAGCTCCAAAGCCTAACATGTCTAGAAACACTGAGGAATGATAAAATATAAAATAATATCCCCCTCTACCTAAGTAGGCAGGTTGGCATTACCACAGTCTTACAGGGTGTCATCAAATTAATAACTTCATAATTAATTGAAATATTTGACTTTGATACATTGGGTTGGACTTCTGTGTGTTACTGCTGGTCAGTGTTGTTATCAGGCTTGTAAGGTCAGATACTTTTGTATTGGTAACACTGGCATATTATGTTGTATCCTATCATATCAAATAGTATCATATCATATCCCATTGTATCATATTCTGTCCCATCCCCCTATCCTTTAACTAGGGCTGAGCAATAAAACGATAACGACATATACCAAAAATTAATATCCCTCAATATCGATATAAAACATGGTCAATATGCTTTTCGATAGTTGGCATTCTGCCATGTTTTAGTAGACTATATGAATAGTCTATGTGAGAGGAAAAGGGGAGTTGCTCCAGGTCTGCTTCGAACCAATCATGTGCTGAATTAGAACCAAGTAGCAAACAACTGCGTAGTAGCAGGCTGTAGCTACACACAACCATAGCACTTTCATTCACCACCTGAGGCAGTGCCACGCGGCAGAGCACACGCAATGCAAAAGTTTATGAACCCAGAGCGGAGCAAAGAGCCATTGGCACCTGTGCAGCCGAAACAGCCGACTATTTCGTTTTCTATTTTCTCTGGCGCAACGCCTTACGACAAAACGTCAAAGAGACACAAAAACCTCAAAGATGCAGTAGATTATTGTATTGCAAAAGAGACGCTACCAATAAGCACTGTTAAATTTCATTTTTGTATATCGTAATATACATCAACATTGACTGATTTGAAAAAATATATATATCCTGAAAAACTTTTTCCCATATCACCCAGCCCTACCTTAAGCTATCCTATCCTATAATTGTATTGTACTGTATCTCTTAGTATGTTGTAGTGGTACCCTTCAAGGATTCACTCCAGCCACATGAGTACAGTCCCTAAATCTAACCAGGCCAACCAGGTTGCTGACTTGAAGAAATCTGCTTCTCCCCCTTTTTCTCTTTTCCCCTCACTCTCGTCTACAGTAAATGTTTCATGACAAGTGTTTTCAGTAAGGCATGTCTTGTGACAGCCACTCTATCATGAGAGGGAAACATATAAATACACACACACACACAAACAGACACTCAGACAAACTTTAAAAGGCTTTAGCCCCGTGCAGTGTTAACAGGCTTTCTGCCAGTGAAGCAGAAAGACTAAGAGTTTAATAAGAGAGCATCATCAGATATCTGTGACAGGCAACATGTACACACACTGACACACACACACAGTGACAGGCACGCAGCATTAGAAAAAGCTCCGCTATAAGGCTTTCAATCCTACAACCTAGTACATAGTAGTGTGTGTGCATATGTTTAAATCTGTACTTGTACGTTTGTGTCTGTTTCCGTGTGTAGCTGTGAGTATTTATCTGAGTTTGTGTGTGTGGCCTGCGAACCGTCACAGCGACACAGGTCTGTCTGGGAGGATAAGAGTGAGACGTCTTATCAGCCGCAAGCCAGACAGACACACAAACACACATTCCCAGACACATTCCCGTACACACCGTGGGATTATATGCCACCTCATATTGGCTGTACGGTGAGGCCTGTCATTGAGAGGTTGGGAGGGGGGAGAGCAAGAGAGAGCGAAGAGGGGAAGGGAGGTGAGGCATGGAGGACAAGAGGGAAAAGTTGAGCGATTACAGAAGAGAGGGGTGCAAAGGAGACAGCACTGTTATACCAACATGTCTTTTTGAAGATTAAGAGTGATGGAGAAAAGTGAGAAGAATAATCAGACATAGGTCAGAAAGACCAAAATCTCAGCATTGGTACACAATGCAACAATTCTAGCTCGAGCAATTGAATGGCTGTAAGACAGACTGAGAGCATATTTACATCAAGGCTTGATGTTGGGGAAAATTCTCATGTGTACACTCACAAATTGCTCACATCACCTGACATCTCAAGACCGTGGCTATGTGACAGTTTGGTGTGGCAATCAGTTGCATGAATCCATGAATGACTTTCTTCAATAGTAGATACAAACCTATGTTACAAGCCTTTACACACATCATAGAAATGTTGGTATGGTTTGAATTTGCAGTTAGGTTCAAGCCAGCAAAATAACAGTCACCAACGACAAGACTCTGGTTTTCTTCAAATGTTACAATGTGAATGTAAAGGGACCGTTTCCCTTCGCTGCCATTCAAAGGGTGGACAGCCACAAACAGAATCTGTCAATTCCTTCTCCTTCCTTAACCGTTTTCCAGGAGCAGTGAAGAATATGGGAAAAATAAATAGGGAGAATATGGAGGGACATCAGGTCATATTTCAGGTGAAATAATATATTTGAAAAGCTGTTAGCTGTTAGCTACCTGAGTTGAATACTTGATTGGTTTGTCAAACCTTGTAAGAGTTATTGATTCCTGACAGCTAAAGCGACACCAGGAGCAGTCTGATCACTCACATTCAATCAATCCGCAGAAGAGAGCACAGCATATTTTACCTCTGCATGTCGATAAAAACATTACAAGTTTACTTAGTAATGTGACAAAAGTTGAGGTTGTTTTGAAAGTCTAATTTTCTTTAAGTCAGTGTTTTATCAACTTGTTTTGTGTTGGTTAGTAATTGGGTAGAAAGCAGGATAATGCACGGTGAGTAGGTGGTTATTAAAATCAGACACAGTGGGTAAGACCCCCCACATTTTACATCTAGATCTAGCCATAAAATAAAGGAAATTATACACCAATTAAACACTACCTATTTCTGTTAGTTCCTACGTGGCTGAATGCTGATATTACAATACAAGAACTTCATTGATCCCCAAAGGGAAATTGGTTTGTCTGAAATCTCATCTCATCTACTATTTATAGAAGAATTAAAAAGTCTGATGTCTGTGGGTACAAAACATCTTCTGAATCTCTCCATCCTGCAGCACAGAGAGAGGAGCCGTTGTTGGGTTTTATATTTTTCGGTCCATCAAGGTATCATCTGACCTGCTCAGTGTTGGTAAGGCAGTGGCTCTGTAAGCTTCTGCAACGTTGGCATACAGCAGATTCAGGGTTTTGTTTTCTTTAGTAGGACAGTTAATGGGGGGGGTGGGGGGGGTGGCATGGTTGGAGTCTCCTGATATTATTACAAGTACCTCAGGATGTTGAGTCTGCATCCTAGCAACAGTAACATGGAGAACATCTCACGGAACTTCAGTCGTTGCCTTGGGTGGGATGTACAAGTATTGTTATGATATGACTGAACTCCCTTGGAACATGATATGGCTGAACAGCAACTGCCAACAGATCAATATCTGAACAATGCATTATCTCCTTGACAGCTATGCGCGAAGGTTTACACTATATCTGAGTTGATTAGAATCAACCAGGTTTCAGTGAAACACAGGAGACTGCACTAACCCAAGTGGACTTCCTCTACCTGTGGCGAATGTTTTATGAACTACTCAACATCAGGGGCAAATGGCCGCAGTGTGAGTTGCGTAGTCTGTGAATGAGTGACTGAATGACAGCCAATAATATTACTGACAAAGCTATTAATCATCGTGTGAGACATACAGTGTTTGGTAATTAAGGAAATGTATTACCTGTTAATGAGCGAGCAGGAAGTTGTGTGCAACTAAGTGACATGGAGAGGTAATATCAGAGTAAATGAATGACTGACTAAATGTTGGTTGGGTAAGTTAATGATTGATTGATTGAGTGACTGCCGGCATATTAAGTAAGTAACTGACTACATGATTGAATAAATGACTCCATGGCTATTTCAGCAACAGAGAAGACATTTCAGAAGGAGCAAGCGCCTATACATCTGGGGAACGCCACTGAGAAATTAATGTTCAAAACAACGAGGAAATATCCTTCAATCTTTTTAGATTGAGACAGGGCTGGCCCAGAAATTAGCCTCAGAAATGTCAGGGAAATGGCAAAAGAGTGAAGAGGGAGGGGAAGGGAGGGAAAGACAGAAGAAAGGAGAACAGAGTGAAGACCTAATGGAAGGGAAAAAATAGGGAATTCGTTTTATGACACCACATAAATATAGAAATGTCGAAGGCGGGTGGAGAGAAGAAAAGTTAAAATAAAGAGACACAGGGGAGGTGACATGGGAGGGGAAAGGGGGTTGAAAGCGGGTGATGAAAATCCTTTAGCCACCCAGAAAATTTGCTACCTAAGTGTTGGAAAGGGGTGGAGAAAAAGGAGGGGGAGAAGGTGGAATAACAGAGGAGGAAAATGACTTGGGAACGCAGGCCATCAGTCATTGGGAAAGCAGGCCTGACACTACCGCATCAATAATTCAGATGACTATGGCTAATGAGCGAGATCCAAACAAATCACCCCTGAATTCACTGAGAGAACATTGAAACATTTCACTGCACAAAATATGGCGGCATTATAGCTCCAGCTTGGTCTGTGCCGGCAATTCCTAAGGAGGAGGAAGGGGGATACAATATTCTGCTTTCGGACCGGAGCAACATTCACATTCATTTTTATGAGAGAGAAAAAAGGGACAAAGAGACTTGAAGACTGAACAATGGCATACACAATAGAGGTGGACAATATGGCTTTAAATCTGCATCATTTATCACTCATTGAGACGTCAGGTAACTTTTCTATTTGTGAGCATATTGTCACATGAATTATAGCAAAGGGTTTGTCAGGGGTATTAGTGCCTCTATAGCAGCCATGCTCTCCAAGGCTGATTCAGCTGCCACCAAACCCTGACCTGAGGCATGAGCATCATTGTGTTACTTTAAATGATGTCAGTCTGTGTGAGGACAGTAATCATGTGTACATAGGTTACTACTGGTAACCTATACTATATTGTGATTGTGAATGAGAACGAGGACCTGCAATGCTAAAGGCCTGTGTTGGTGTCACAATGACAGTTTTTATCATTATATGGCACTGACTCTATATACGACTACACATACAAAGGATCAGTGCAACAAGAAAAAGTTCAATTTGACAAATAACCAAATGAAAGGCCAAGATAAATATAGACTCTGATGAAGTCGGCAAAAGCGCTCAGAGAAAGGAGTGCAACCAGGAGAGATGTAAAGAAAAACTCTGGCTCTAAAAGCAGGTCGAACCCAGTATGGTGCACGGCGTTCCACTGATGACTGTTACTAACACGCTCACAGGCAAACACAGCAAACAACTCCTCCGTTCCAACTCCAACAACTGACAACAAACAAAACCTTCTGTACACAGCATGGGACATATTGAAACTTGAGTGCAGCTCCAGATTCTCCCCACAACATGAAAACAGGCACTCATTCATGATCAGAAGTGTAGGCTGAACAAAGTATACCCGTTTGGTGACTGTGCAACTGTATCACGGTATCAGCTCCACAGTGACAGGGTCTCATGAGCTTGTTTTACTTACAAATACCAAAAGTCACCATATACACTGTCAATTAAAAGAAGTTAAATCAAGTCAGAGTATTAAGTTTAAGAGCTATCTGTCCTAACCTTGAATGACGATCCAGCATTCTTGTGAAGCTGATCATTGTTTTAATAAGCCACCACTTAGCAAGACCACAAAAAAGCAAGTAGGTAAAGATCCAACAGCAGCTTTTCCAAAAGTTTGATTAAAAAAGCTCTAAAGTCTGTTGAATTGGAAAGACAGTTTAAAGGACTTTAAAATCTCAAACTTCTGAAACGTCGACAAAAAAGTCATCCAAAAACATATGACAGGATTTCTCTGTGTTATGTCATGCTAGGACTACAAGTTATTAGAAAAAAAAAAAGAAATATGGTGCTAGTATTTTGGGATGTGCTTCAAAGGAAAAATCTTACCTTCTTTCGGGTCAAGATGGGATATCAGCCCATGGCCTGTGTTTACAGTTGATGACACAAGTTTCCATCCAAAAAAAGGATGTTTTGCAAAAGGACTTTAAAACTTTATTTTTAGCAAAAATTTTGGTTCCCCCCTCTTAGATTCTTTTCTTAAAACCTTTTTATCCACTCTTAAAACTGCTGATCTTGTTTTTGTTTTTTTCCTTTGAGATTTTTTTTTTCTTGTTTTAATCTAGATCCTGTTTTTCTATCCCTTTATTGTGATGTTTCATTGTTTTGAATGTGTGGCCCTTCGAGATCCTAGAATGTAAAGGGAATTACAATTACAATTTATTATTATTATTATTATTATTATTATTATTATTATTGTTATTAACAACCAGCTTGAAGACAAGAGATTTAGAGGCCCCCAATGCTGACCAGCCACAGACATAAACCCAAACTCTCCAAACAAATAAACTGAAATACACATCAAATAAAATAAAAAAAATTTCCAGACAATTGAAGTTTTAATTAAGTATTGAGTTTCAAAAAGAGTGATATCATTAACAGCTCTGTTGACAAAAGAACAGATGTTTTGGACTGGACCGGCAGAGTAGAGGAGGAAAAATAATGGAGACAATGACTCAAACACTAATGAAAAAGTCATTAAACTCTCTGTAGCTGCTGTTGGTGTCTGTTTCAAACCAACAAAAGAATCTGTTTTGCTGTGGACTGTGCTGACCTGAGGGATCTTTGACATTTTGCTGTAAAGTTTAATGTGTGTTTTGTCGAGTGTTGCAGGTCTGACACTACCAGATGGTTCGCTTCAGCAGATGCTGTGGTTCGGACGTACCAGCTGGAATATTGGCACCTTTTTGGCTTCAAGGCTCCTAATAGGCAGAATGAAGAGACATTGTCCATCCAATATTTAGTCAGTGTTTCAGCCCAAACTCACACTGTAAGTCTTACAGCTAAGGTCTAAACCCAGCAGGGAGCATACACCAGCTATTTTTAAAGTACAGCGTTTTGAGTGACTCACAATGGGTTAACTTGCAACTCCTTAAGTACTTCTTTGTTCCATTTTTAGTCAGCCAATATTTTGTTGTTGACTGAGGACGGTAGTACCGCTCAACCTTTACAAAAGTAATTACCAGCAGTTTGTAAGAAATCCACATATTTGTGAAATCCATAAGTGCTGACCAACAGTAGTTAAGAGGATCATTATTTATTAATTCCATTTACTGCTCTGGTTTTATTTCCTCCTTTAGAATCATATAACAGTATCTAACTTGAAACTTTTAATGCATACCAGTACATTTTTTTTACACTCCTGTCTACACGATAAAACCTCAAGACATTGAGCAGAATGTGTAAACAGTGAGCAATGGTTTATTCTCCAATGAGCAGGTCAGACGGAAAACCCAGAGTCAATAGTGCTTACACAGTGTTTAGCTTCATAAGCCCCAGTCTAAACTCAGCAAGTGGCTCAGGTTATGCCCTGAAGGCTCTGCCCAGTAGTTTATTGCACCGCTGTGTGCAGAGGTAGCAAGCTCTTATTATTCCTATCCACTTATTAGACTGGTCCCTGGGTGTGGTAGCAGGGCTGATACTTTGCAATCTCCATCTCTCTGTAGATATATAACTCTCTTGATATATAATTCTCCTTGCTGCAGACTCACTGCCCTGGACTTTTTTCCCGTCTTTCCCTCCCCTGACTCTGTGTGCCTTGGTATAGGAAGTGCTTACATTGGTCCTTTCTTTGTGCTGTAGTCAGCCTTAAGACAGAAACACAACACAAGCTAGATATAATATCTAGCAGAGCCAGGGTGATGAACGAGGCAGTATTGAAGGGATATAAATATTCTTTCTCTCTTCATGACTATTTCTTACACTCCCCGAGGGGCATATAGCCTGATTTAAAAAGGCAGGGGTCCACCACTGCTACCCTAACTTCTTTTTTTATTTCTTGTTAATTCATTTCTGTCTCCCCCCCCTCCTGTCTGTGACAATCTTGCTACTTAACTTTATCCTTAACTTCTCCTATTCCCTATCAGACTCTATTTTTATCATTGTGCTCCACCCACCCTTCCCTCCATCTTGATAAGCTCTGCAAGGACAAGGAACATTAGAACAAGGAGAATTAGCTTTGCTTTTTAAACATCTAACTTTCTAGGGTATAAATAACTCTGCGTAACACTGACACTAATGGTATTCTGTAGTCTGGCTCTCACAATATGTCACTGGACTAGTTTTCATCCAAGTTTCCTGTGGTCTATCAATATGATGCCCACTTTTGCTGCAAAATGTGGTGCTTTACTGCTCTGACCTGAATTTAAAGAACATTACACTGAGATGATTCCGAGACACCCAAGAGTTGATTTCAAGAAGGTTGGAGACATTTTTGAAAGACTCCAGTTGGATTTGGTGCCAATGCAAGACTCAAGAAGAGTCATGACATCAATCCTATTTTGTAGGTTTTATTGAGGGTTCAAACCATTACTTTATCCACCGATAAACAGATATAGCATGATCATACTTGACCTGAGACAAATATTGATGCTGGCGCCTTCACTACAGAATGGTTTAGTGTAAATTATGCAACTAGCTGATGACTCTCTAATGTTCAACCCTAGGTTAACTCACATGCAAGTCGAAGGTTTGTGTAATGCGTACAGAGACACAAACACACACAAGCTAACAGGTAGGCAGCATGAAAGCAAATGTCAAACAGCAGAGGTAGAAAAAAAGTCATTGACTTAGGACTGGAAAAAAAAAGATCACGATATATTCTGTCATATCGTCTGATCTCGATTATTATCACAATTTTTTTGTATTTTTTTAAACTGCTAGTTTTAAAGCATCTGTACTAAAAACTAAAGAAACTGGAGATTAGTTCAACATTTTATTAAAATAACAAAGCAAATTAAATAAGATAAACTTGGACAAATATTTTAAAAAAAAACTAAACAGTATTTTCACTAAACAGTACAACAAATGTAAATAAATAATACAGTGAACTAGTTTACAGTGCTGAGTGTTTTTGCAGGTATGTAAGACCCAAAATAAACAAATCACCCCCTCAGGGGTAATGAAGCTGCCTCAAAATGTAAACATTAGATGATGTAAACGTAGATGATACTATTGATCGCTGCTTTGGTCTGATGGCTGCACCGCTAGTTGTGGCTAAACTGCTAATGCTACTTGTGCAGTCAGCAGTGACAGGCTGTTCAGACTCCACTCACATTTTCATGCTTTCCACATCACTGGATGTGGAAAGCATTACTGGTACTTCTTCAAATGATTAAAAAGATTTGTTGTGTTACCGGTTTTTGAGGGCGCTGACATACTTTGCACATTGGCTTCAATGCTAGACGTCACTTTAGAGATACCTGAACCACCGCCACAAAACCGACATTGAATAACTTTTTTTCTCAACAGTGGCATCTTCAGAGGATGACTCAAAGTCATGGCTGACATCTATTTTGCTGCCCTCAGCTCTGCGTCTAGCTCCACGTTCAGTCATTCTGTTTACTTCAACAGCTAACAGAAGTGAGCAGGAAAAGCTAGACTCTGATTGGGTGTTGTCACGCACATTTCCGCTATGTTTGATCAAGTAAATATGCTCACAGCTAATCACTGTGATCGAACTGAAGTTTATCACGATATCACTAACATATAATCGCCCAGTGCTACATTGAACTGCAAGGAGGTGGAGGATGGGAGGGTCACTGCTCTGACTCTGATGTCAGAGTTGTAATGAAGTCCATTTTTCCTTCCACAAATACAAATTTGAAGCTTTCAACTACTTCAACAAGCAGAAGACTGATGTTACTGCCTCTTTCCTCTGCACTTCCTTTTTTTCAGATTTCATCATTTTTCCAACAGTGTTCAGTTCTCATTTCAATGCCATGTATTACAAAGTGTGAATAAACAATATGGAGTGACTTTATATTAAACAAATAAAAATAGTCCTAAAAAAGCAAATTTAGCCCATACAAGGACTAATTCCCTGTCTGAGAGTAGTTGGTATTAAATTATGCACCAAAATATTGTACAAAATGGAAATGATGAAATTTAGTTAGGGTACAATTAGTAAAATTATGAGTAGCACCATGAAGATGGCAATTAGAATGGGAAACAAGCACAGTGGCATTCAAACTGAACCTAGGGAGAGCAGCAAATCCCCCTGACTTATAAATTAAATTTGAATTTAACACACCCATTTGAATGCTGCAAAGTGTAAGGACAGTCTTAATAAACTTGAGACTTCTGCAGCTCGACAGTCTCAAGTCGAAGTTAGTGGCAGCTGAGATACAACGAAGGGTTACAGTTGGTGAGGTGAATACAAAATGCCATTTCGTCTTTTTTTTTAGCTTAATAAGATCTTCCTCCGCCTCTTCAACTGCCATAGGCCCACTAGGAGGACGCATTTCCTATAATATAACCCCTCAATATGTCTCCTGTGGCTCAGGTATCTGTGAGTGTGTGTGCTACTTGCCACAGAGACACACTCGTTAAGGCAGAGCAGACCAAAGTGGCACACTGACGGTCAGAATACAGAGCTCTACAGTTTATAGAAAAGTCACAGTGTCAAAGCCAGAGAAGTAAGCTGAACAGCTGGAGATGCTGCAGCCGAGTATGTGATTGAGAAATGCTCCTTCTGTCATTCATTAGATAATGCAGAGGTGTCCTTGAGCCAGTAGGTGCCAAACAGCAGACTGTGGCTATAACAGGCAACTCCCTGGTGTCATTAAGTGAATGTGAAACAAGGTGTTTCTGAAAATAAACACAGATGTCAGCAGGCTGTACTTTAGTATAGAGGTCAAGGCACGTTCTGTAAGGGAGTATTCAACGAACTGAAGTTTTGAACCCATAATTACATCCTTTAAAGGCTGGCAACACAGACTATAGAGTCCATCTCCTCCATGTTAACCAATGAAACATGGGTCAAAGTCATGGACTGTATGATAAATGGATGTAGCCTCAGTAACATCATCCATTTGTTTTGAAGTCAATCAACGGCAGACACCATATTGGTGATGCTGACTCAACCTAACTTTTGGTCAACCTACCACAGACAGGCCTTTAGCCTCCTTGTGAATGGCTTCTGTAACCCCGTACAGTGAAAGTCCTCAACTATTCTAACCAGAATCAGGCTGAAACCAGGCGACATTTTCATTAAAAAAACAGCTTTTCTTTGGCTCACCCCCAATTTCCACCGAATCCAGAACGGCTACGAAAAGGCTGTATGCGGCGATCGCAGCTGATCGTAACCTTTCAAGTTAATGTGTTAATTTCCACCGGCTTCTTTCCGTTCCGCTGCGGATCGCTGGACTCTGCAGCTGATCGCAAGAGTTCTATTTTTTTCTGGACACTGGCGCATGCCGCATAAATTTAGCACAGATTATTCCCTAATGGAAAGGAAGTCAGACACAGACAGAAAACAAAACATCCGGCTTCTTTTCAAAATAAAACACTACATGTTTCAGGCAGATTGTATTTCACACCATGCAAACGAGGACAAACAGGTGACAGGTTTTTGGACAGCATTTAATCCCGATGACACCATGGATGAGGAGATGCTGATTCTAGAAGTCTAGAAGTGGATTCCCTCCTCTGGAAGGACATTATCTACTGCTTATATGGTTATGTGGCTGTCTTTATAGAGACAACTGGTTATCATACGATTGCATGTGAATCCGCGGATTCTTGTGAGTTCTCGCGATTCTCGCTGTCTGTAATCCACCACGAAGTTAATAAGAATTGGCAGACAGCGAAAATCGCTGCCATTCTGGATGTGGTAGAAGTTGGGGGTCAGTGTGTACAAGGTTTCTGGTGCTTCTGCACTCAGCCTCTAGTGGGCACTCAGAGAACTGCAGTTAATAGCACTTCGACCTTAGCCTTATTTTTTGAGGCTGGAGGTTGCCGCTTGGTCAAACTACAAAATCATTTTACATGTGAAATAACTATTTTCTCAAATATGTCCTCCATCATCATGATCATATTGCTGATTTATGTTTATTTTTCTAACCTGTATCTGATCTTTAACTTCCTCCCTCCATCATTAAGCAGTCAGCTTTTTCACAGTTTTCAACAAAAGATGAAGTTCAGTGTTATTTTTCCTCTCACTCCCTTTAAATTCAATGCCAAAGTGTCTTCCTGCTGATTTCATTGTGCAAACTTGACAGCCTGACACTAAAGTTCCTCAGTTTTCTTTGTGCTGCTGTCTGATCAGTAAATGTTTTGGTTTTAGTGAAAGTAAAACAAACTGAGCTCTTAAAATCACAGACAACCAAATGAACTATTAACGTGACTTGGCTTCAAGCTACGGCCTGTCAGAATCTGCCAAAAGAGCAGCCAACCCTGCTCCTAAGAGACCCTGCCTTCAATTAGGATGGGCTTTTATTGGAAGTTTTACAGTAACTGTTGAATGTATTTTGGTTTGCAGAACGGCGAACACCAGTTTCCCTGCTTGGTCAGATGTTTCAAACTTAACAAACTCTGCCAGCTAGCTCTGTTGCAGGAGATAATTTGGCTTCACTTCCTTTTATTTTTAATCAGGTTTTCCCCTACACGCTCTTGAACGTGGCGCACTGCCACGGCTCAATAAAAGCCGCCACATCTTTTAAATGAGGTGTTTTCTTACATGGCTCTATCTTGGACTCATACATATGTGCATGCGCCTAGTATTAGGATTCGTGAGTTATCGTCGGTGATGTCACGGCTGATTCATTACCCCCCCCAACCCTTATTAACCCATTTAAACCGAGACAGCATTTACGCATTTCAACTTTCCAAGCCAGGAGCGCGGCTGCGCATTTCTACTCGGAAAGCCGGGTGCATATACGCATTTCTACCCTTCAAGCCTGGAGTGCAGATATGTCATTTTGTAACATTCTGTAGTTTTTCAATCATTTCTGGAGTCGTGGCGGATCAAATCATCATGCCTGTCTGCCTCTGATAGGCTTATAAAGCAATCGGATTCATGCTCGAATCTTGCTACGTGCTTCGTGAGGAAATTAAAAAATGACAAAGGCACAGAGCAGCTTCGGAGGAGAAGCATCCAGCAGTGTGAACAAACTCTTAATATTGTGTGCTTTGGCTAGTGCTGGCCGATAGGACGATAGATATCGTGGGCACGATAGAAAATGTCTATCGTGCCATTTTTATTTTTATTGTTTCGGGCGATAGGCTGTATTTAATCCATAGGGCTTGTGCCATCAGATGATTCATAGTAACAACAACAATAATTGCACATTCAGTAAGTGTATTTGGTGTCGAACGGGAAAGAAAACAATATTTTCTTACAAAGAAAAGGATGCGTTGACATGTAGGCTCGCATTTCTCTTTCGATTTTGCGACATGACGCCGCTTTACGTGCCCTCTTCGTGTCCAGCGTCTCCCGCCGTTGCGGGTTACCTGGGTTACACACGTGAGGGGATCATGTAAGCAGTGCTTAATTTGTGCCGGAGCAAGTCGGAGCGCGCTCCGGGACCTCTTTTGATCGGACCCGGGACCTATTTCAGCCGCTCCGGCACCTGTTTCATCTGCTCCGGCACCTGTTTCGTCTGCTCCGGGACCTTCCCTGTAGAGGCTGACTTTTTTCGGGAATTCCCGTGGGTCACGTGATTCCCGCGGGAATCCCACGGGATGGAAGTCATTTTTTAATTAATCCCTTGATCGGGACGGGACGGGAAAAAAAGCAACGGGAGTGGGAAGGAGCGGGAGCAACATTAAAAGATGATCATTTTCAGCCGTGTTTAACAACCAGATGAACAGGTGCGTCCATTTTTGTAGTCATCTCTCAGTGAGAGCCAACACTCTTGACCGCGCTAGCAACACAAAAGAACTACAACAGTGGTTTGACTTCCTGTCAGCTGGGAGCGCGGCTGCGCATTTCTACCCTTCAAGCCAGCAGCGAGAAAACATAATTTTGTGACATTCTGTAGTATTTCAATCATTTCTGGAGTCGTGGCGAATCAAATCACCTTACCTGTCTGCCCCTGATAGGCGAATAAAGCGCTCGGATTCATGCTCGGGTCTTCCTACGTGCTTCAAGAGTAAAGTAAACAATGATGGAGGCAGAGAGCAGCTTTGGAGGAGAAACATCTAGCAGTGTGAACAACCTCTTCAAAAGAGCCCTAAAGACCTACCTTTTTAATAAAGTCTTTGGTTAGTTTTCCTCTATGCTTTATGCTTTTACTACCTTGCCTCTTACATTGCAACTCTATATTTTTTATTTTTTTAATTCTTTTTTTATGCCAATCTGTGACTGTCATTCTAATGCTTTTTTTATTGTTGCTGCTCTTTTTTTACTGTGTACTGTAGCACTTTGAGATTTTTTGTAAATGTAAAGCGCATTACAAATTAAATGTATTATTATTATTATTATTATGGAGTGCTTTGGCTCACACTATCGGCGTTTTCTGTGAGTGTTGCATAACTTTGGGTGAGCACAGACATGAACGCACTTCAGCCACGTATTTATTTATTCATTTTTCTAGTTTTAAGTGCTGGTCTTGTACTGGCACTGTACTAGTGCAGCTGTATACACTTAAATTTTTCATAGAACTGAAAGCATACCATAGCTATATCGTGATATGTATCGTTATCGTGATATAAAATGATCCATATCGTGATATACATTTTTTTCCATATCGCCCAGCACTAGCTTTGGCTCACACTATCAGCGATTTCTGTGAGTGTTGCATGACCACGTATTTAGTTTTTAGTGCTGCTTTTGTACAAGCACTATACTAGGGCAGCTGCATACCCTCTCACCACTTTATTTTTTATATTTTCATTTGTATTGAGTGGACACTTTATCATGACTGCCACTTGTTTTAGTGGTTATTGTAGCTTTCAAGATAGTTATCTTGAAAGCTACATGTGTAAGCTCTCAAATACTTTTTGAGTTTTGTTTCTATCTGCTACAGAGGCTGAGATATCAGCTTTTATTGTAAACCTAAATACTTAAGAAAACCTCGGATCTGAGGGCCCTTCTCAAAATTGCCCTCAGGATTTCAGAGGCGTGTCTCAGACAGGGTTCAGGTCTTAATGGGTTAACTCACCACAACAGTTAGTTTCCCATCCTGGGGGAAACACTGTTCATGCATCCAGGGGTGGCTTCACTGATCCACCAGCTGCTTATAGACTTTACCTCTCAAAGCTTTAATAAACATAAATGACCAAACTCAGATAACAACTTATTCTGTCTATGTCCTCAGTCGCAATCTCAGGGCTTAAGGAGCTCAGAACTTTCGACTTGGATTTACTATTGAGCCACACGTCACCTCTATTTGTTTACATTGCATGAAGTGTGAAATGGGCGTTCATATTTTCATCCTCTCCTATAGTGTGAGACAGTCATTACAAACACACACACATACCTCACAAGCCAACAAGCTATCAAAATTAGTCATGAAAGAATGGGTTTGAGTATACGTGTGTGTCTCTATGTGTGTGACTGTGTTTGCTGGAGGGCAAATGTGTCAGCCTCGATTACAGATTCATTCGCTCTCTCATTCAAATTCCTTTTCATCCATGGTTGATCTGTCCATTTATTCATGAGCTTATTCTCTCGCTCAGTCAGGTAGTTCTTTCTTCACACATTTGTTGACATACATTATCTTTCATTCATTTAGGTATCCGCTCACCTGTCATGTATCTGTCCATGAATTTCTTGCCTATTTCATTCTGCAATTTGTCCACTCATTCTATTTTCTATTCATAAACATATTAAGTCAGTTGAGAGGAGTGGTTCAGACGAGGTAACTTTTCTGTTGTAATAACTTTTGATAGAATTGCTGGGTAGTTAAATCCCCTGAGACAATTTGGTTTGTTCACCAAGGCTTATAATTTCAACTGAGGTCACATTCAGAAAGACCAATAATTTATTAGTATGAATCCTCTATGTTCAGGGGTGGTAACACTAAATGCTCAAAACAATTCTGGCCCATGTGGCAGAATTATTGCCCAGTAGATGCTCTTCACAGTCAAATACACAAACTTATCTGTATTGGGAGGTTTTTAACTTTCGGCGCTGGATGAGCACTCTGAGACTGTTTTTTTTCCTCTTTTTCTATTTCTTCACATGTAAATAGGTCTCATGTACACATCTTTTTCTGTTTTCTTAACTTAACTTTGAGCTTCTCTATCCTTTAATTTCCGTTTGTATGTCTGTATGCTGCTGTAAATTTGGAATTTCCTCCTGTGGGACTATTGAAGGAACATCTTATCTACATTTTAGGGTTTCAAGTCATTTCAAACGCATTTAAATTAAACATGAAAAAGAAATGCAGTCCCTAGATCGTCTTTTAAAGATTACTAACAAGTTCATAAGGATATCTCAAGTAATTATTTTCATCAATATACCCCCTCACGCTCATTTAAACAACAAACAACAGGTTAGAAAAGCTATTACCTACGAATTTATTCTCATGAGTAATGATTTTATTACGACTTTACAAATTATTTTACTACGATTTTTTTCTTTTCTTAATGAGGCCCTAATGCCCTAATGCTCCGTCGTAAAAGTATACAGTTTTCATTTCCAAAAATATCCACGGATGACAGTGATGGCCCTGTGTCAGTGGTGTAAATCTACATCTATGATCTGGTGCACCAAATTTAATGGTGCATAATATTATTAAGGTATTCGATGTTAACAAACACATGCATGTGTTTAAGCCACCTCAGTCAATTGAACCCAGGTGGGTGAACGGGTACAGGAACAGACGCTCTTTCCGGCTCACTGGCAAATGACAGCTGAGCAAACGAGCCACCACAGCTTCCTCTCACTTTCGTTTCATCCGGAAACGTCCCGGACTCATTTTCATTAAATAATAACAAATCAGGCCTATTTACTAAAACAACATTTGTTCAGAGCTGCCCACGTGCAACACAACCTGCATTAGTGCAGATACCTTAGCAGCTTTTGTCTTTAGCATCATCTCAGTCACTGCCCGTGAAGCTACCGGAAAGAGGGGAAGCATTTCCGGCACGCACCGTTTCAAAATAAAATCCTTAATGCAAAAAATGCAGGGAATGTCTGCTGTTTGGAAGAAAATCTCAGGGAATTAAAACACTTGGTATGTGATTGCGTGGCAAACATTTAAAGGTACACCATGGCCAAACTCAACATCTAAAGAAACTATCCACAGCCGGCATAAATGATAGACAAGCTTCAGGAGGAAGTAAAGAGATGTATCGCAAAAACACTGTGCAGAATGCAGCCCTTAGAAAGGCAAAACCCTCAAGCTAAGACAAGGAAAACACGAGTTAAAAAAAGATAATGCCAAAATACTGGCGTTTGTAGACCCCAAATGAGTAGTTAATCCCTGTGTCTCAAACAAACATCCTGTCCTTCACGGACTGATTCTCGTTAGCTTTACAAACACCGGGCGGCAGGTTCATTTAGCCTCCTCCTTTGAAGCAACACAACATTAATCTGTTAATAGCTAATTCACGGGGAGTAAACGTTACCTCCTTCTTCTTTTGTCCTCCTCCCGGTGGCAGACATAGCAGCAGGAGGCAGATAACCGACAGGACCGGCAGGTTAGCGATGGATTTAGCCCAAACAGACGCCATGACGGAAGGATGCTTTGACTGTGAGACACGTCTCTGCCCAGGGATTGGATTATGAGTCAACCAATCAACGACGAGAATTTACACGCGCGATAGCTTCTGGGGCTTGTAGTTTTTTCTTCATTTTAGGCAAAACTGTACTGTTGGACCGCGTCGAGACGCAACGTTTTTAGTCTGAGTTACTAATAAAGTCAGTTATGCCCTCGCTATCACCATTAGGCTCTGTATTTTGAAAGAGGCCTGATGGTGCAAGGGAACCTGAATAAATACACTCACTGAAGATATATCAAAGATTTTAAAGTTTTAAAAGCCTTAGAAACATAACGATACAAATGCATAAATAAAGTGAGAGTAAATTATTATTATTATTATTATTATTATTATTATTATTATTATTATTATTATTATTATTATTATCATTATTATTATTATTATTATTATCATTATACATTTCATTTATATTGCCCTTTACATTAAGAGACCTCAAAGGGCTACATCTTAAAGCAAAGAAATATCACAGTAAAGGAATATAATAACAGGTTTTTGGTTAAAACAAACAAACAAACAAACAAAAAAAAAAAAAACAAGAGAAACATCTCATTAAAAGAGTAAAGCAAGATAAGCAGTTCTTTTTTGTTTGTTTGTTTGCTTTGTTTTTTAAGAATCTATGAGGAAGGACCAAAAGTTCTGTTAAAAAGAAATGTTTTGAGTCCTTTTTTAAACCGCTTTTTGTGGGTTGTGGTGCCCCCAGGGTGTCGGGGAGGGTGTTCCAATGGCGTGGGACAACAGCACAGAAGGCCCTATCTCCCATGGTCCTTTATTTGGTTCTAGGGGTGAAGAGGAGGTGTGATACTCAATCCTGGTGGAAACAGGAGGCCAGTAGAGTGATTGGAGGATGGGGGTGATTTGATCATGTTTGCGCACTCTCATCAGGATACTAGAATATATGTATAATCACTGTTATCTCATATATATTCTGGTTTGGACTGTGTTAAGGTCAGACACAGAAAGAAGTAGGCCTATAGCAGACTTTTATGGGCAGTGTTGGAAATATCGTCATATAGAGATAACCATTTGGTGCTTTCTGAGGTTTCTCAGTCATCATAGAGAACAACTGATAAATGCAAAAAAGTTAGAAAAGACTTCTCAGAATGATCAGAGCCATTTAACTCCACTTTGGCCTGTTTCTAAGATTATTTATTTTGTTTATGTGTTGGCCCACATTTTTAGCACAGGCTCAAAATTGGGACAGCTGGTCCATGAAGTGTGCTGTTTCTCCTCTCCTTTTTTCACAATGAAGTTATAAAAAGGCTGAGATTTAACTCTACATATTTTATTACAAGGAATTACATCTATTTTGATTTGGACTAATAGTAGATGAAAATGATCAAAATGAATTACCTTCCAAATTCTGACCTCTCAGCATTTTATTACTGATGGCATGCAGTGTGACGAGGCCCGTAATAAAAGTTTATTTTGCTTTCAAATAAATTGTTTCACAGCTAGAGCAGTGCTGACTGTCCTTTTTAATTTTTTAAAATTTTTATTAAAATTAGGCAGAATGGATGCACCTTGAAACACAATCTAGTGAGTGTGTTGCATCACCACACATTTTCATTTCTTTCACACTCTCTCATCAGGGATGTCTGTCAGAGCTGAACATAGCACATGATATAGCTTACATAAGAAATTGCACAGAATTGCATTTCAGTGGACATGGGTTCCCACTTTTACAGCCATCTGGTGAAATCCCCCAGTTCTAACCCAGAAGCAACAGCAAGTAAGTGGCTAATCGAGTTTACTGCATTGCATTCACTCTTTGTGGTGCAAAAAGCTTTCTGTCTGTCGGCTAGATTGTTGACCTACCAAGGGGATACACCCTTTAAGATTTAATCCAGTTCTCAGTCACACCATTCTACGCACAGGTAATAAAATGATGTTATAAATGCACTGCTAGATCTGGGTCGATTAAAATTTTACAAAAGATTATACAACTAGTTTTGTCTTTATCACAGATTTATGCGTATCTCTAATACAAAGATGAAAGAGTACACATAAGATATGAAATACAAGAAATCAAGAAGCATGGTGTGCAGGGCAATCCCCCAAGTGCAGCTACATTAACTTATTACCTAAGCAGCAGGTATGAAAACAAACACACATAATAAAATCAATCTAATGGATAACTGCAGTAGATATAATGGTAGATGTGTTATATGTGTGCTGATAGGTTGCAGCAAAACAAGCTACAGGAAAGGATCCTCTCAGAAAAGGAGGTGTGTGTGGAGTGGGGTGGGGGCATGGGGGGTTAATGGCCCAGTAATAGATGCGTAAGTGGCTTGTGCAAGGTCTAATGACCTGCTGGAAGAAACCAATACTCTAAAAGTCGTCTGCTTAATGGTAGTGAGAGCCATACTTTTTTTTTTTTTTTTTTTTTTTTTGGGGGGGGGGGGGGTAAATGGCAAATTGATAAATTCACTAATGAAACCAAAAATGATAAATTAGCAAGTGATGAATGAAGAGGTTATCTGTTTATGAAAAAGAGGTTCAATTTAACTCCGATCCTCTTTCTCTCCTCTCGTTGTGTTTGTCTCTCAAACATACACTCCTGCACACAGACACACTTTTGAAATGAAGCATGTTGGAATATTAAAGCCAATGCAGCGTGAAACCATCACCACGTGTTGCAGTCTTGTTAAACCATGGTTCATTGTCTATAGCAGCTCAATCATGGAAACATTCCCAGACTTGCTGGGATTGTTGCAGAATTTTAATTGAAAGGATTTATTTGGAAGTACCAAAGAGGGTCATTACTCAGACGTGAAGTTCTGAACATTTTTTAGAGACGAAAGTAAAGGTCACAAAAGTTGATAAACTGTATCAAAGATTGCATCTGGTGGACATTTTATCAAAGGGACAGCTGTTTGGTCTTCAGCTAACCATAACATGAAAAAATCTATAACAAAACATCATCAGGAAAATGCAGATTGTTTGATATATTAACAGATTACACATTTGATCTCTAAAAATGAGTTTAACCTCCCAAACTCAAGTTACCTATTGAAACCGAACATTTTGTCTGAAACATTAGCACACAAAAAAGGTAAAAAAGACTGAAAAAATAAAATGACTAGAGCTGTGTTTTATTATTACTATTTTTGGCTAAAATTTCATACTTGAATGTGATAAATGACAACTTCACTCTCTAGTTGTTCTCGACAGACTGAGCCTCTGCTGTCCAGTTCTACACTACCACAAATAATATCACAGAACTTTTGCCCTTTAAAGTAGAGATAGAGAGCTTTTGATGCAAGACTTTGACCTAAATAAAGATTTTTTTAAAAGTTACATTTGGGTTTGTTTTTATTTTACTTGAAATGGGGGTAGCACAAACATGAAGCAAAGGTCAAAACTGCCCGCACAGCTGCTGCACGGACAATGGCCTCTGTTTATGGGGCGCACACTTGAAAATGTATTTTTGTGTCATAAACTGACAAACCTCCATTTCACTGAATACAGGATGCACATCTGTTTTAAGACATAGTACTTTGTCTCTGAGTTTCCTCTAAGTTGCTGCCAGGTTCATGGCTGCATTGCAATAACGTGACCCTCCTTTGACTTTTGCTCTCTTCCTGCGCCACAGAAAGCAAACAGCTGCACTTCGCATTCAAGCAGAGGAATAAAGCTTCTATCTGATCACAGTCTTGAAGAGGTTTTGGAAGACGGAGAGAGAGCAGAGAGACAGGGAAGCTTGTTAAGTCAGTCGACGCTGTACAGCACACAGCTGCACCACTCTTTAGAGTAATGGTGCAGGTAAAAATATACACTACAAAGAAGGGAACTTGAGTCGAGGAATGATACCGTGGAACAATATAGAAAGTACAGGCAGTTAAGAATCAAGGGAAAAAAGCCAGACGCTAAGATTTGATTTCCTGAAAAATATGCACCTGATATTAGAGCCCAAATGAGATGAACTCAAGTGGATTTTTGCGAGAGAAATATTGTGAATTTTAGGGCTTTTGGCTGTCTTTGTTTTTGGGAAACAGCTGTGGCAATAAACACACAGGGCTAACTGAGAGGGATTTAGTGCATTTACTTGTCTATGCAAGCAGCAGGGATTGCTGCTGTCTCACAAAATGTGAGGCAGCATGAAAGGACAGAAAAACTGTTTATGGTGTTTGAAATACGAAGGAAACAGAGAGAAGCAGGGGGAGAGAGAGGGGAGAGATGGGTGATGTCATTTCCAACTGGCACAGGACTGGCTGTCTGTACCTGATATCACCTTCTCCTTTATATAAAATAACGAGTCCTGGGGAAAAAAAAATGATTAATTGCGTGACAGCACAAAGTTTACAGAAAAGCGGGGTGTGTGTGGGGGGGTTGAAGTTGGCAAGGAGGTGGAGGTGGTGGGGGTCCCTGAGTTAGAGGGGAGCAGAAAATAGCCAAAGAGAGAGAAAGAGAGGGGTGGAGAGAGTGCAACATCAAAGGAGAAAAGAGAGAGAGATAGAGACAGAGAGAGGAGGGGAGAGAGGAGGATGTTTGGGAGAGAAGAGGGATTTGAGGCAACACAGCAGTGGAGAGAATAAGAGGGAAGGAGAGAAGGAAAAGAGAAAGAGATTTGTATTGAGAGAGTGAGAGAGAATCAGACAAACAGAGAGGGAGGAGCGTGAGAGAAAGAGTGAGGATTCATTAATATGATGTTCGTTATCTCTGACTGACTCCCTCAACAAATGTTCCTCTGTGCTCTCTAGTGGGCTATTGAATAGGCCTGTAGATCTGTGTGTGTGTGTGTGTGTGTGTGTGTGTGTGTGTGTGTGTGTGTGTGTGTGTGTGTGTGTGTGTGTGTGTGTGTGTGTGTTACCTTATGGATATGTGATCATGAGGTGTACGTGAGCTCTGTACAATACAAATGTGGACTAGTGACCCTACTATAGACCATATACAATACTGTATGTGAGAAGTAGATAAATGCTCTGGCCATAAAAAGTGAATGGTAAAGTGCCTGTACAGAATGTATGAGGAAAAAGCACCAGCATTGTTCACA